CATTGACATAATTGTTTTGACTTATTTGATTGACAGGTTTTGGCCTATTTGATTGACATGTTTTAACTTATTTGATGGACATGTTTTGACATATTTGATTGACACGTTTTGACTTATATCCGATCTAGTCCAAGTGGCTTTGGAAAGAAAGACGTCTTCCCTACCCCAACCCTAGCTACACAAAAACCTAAATGACCATGGCCTTATTTTTTCCAGACGAATCCCGTTGAAACTATTAATATTTTTTATAGTCTATTCCATCAGTTTTTGTTAACAAACGAGTTTTCTTGCTTGTGTGGCTTGAAAGAAAGAAGTTAACCCTACCCAAAACATTACCTAATATCAATGGAAGATCCTGTGGTCCAGTGGATTCAGCAGTAGCGCGCTAAATAAAAGGTTATGTGTTCGAATCTCACTGAAGATTTTTTTTTATTTTGCGAAGTCAAACATTATGTATTCTATCATTTTTCGTCAAGAAACGAGTTTTATGGCTTATGTGGCTTTGAAAAGAAAGAAGTGAACCCTACCCCAAACATTACTTGACACTAACGGTAAATACTGGTGGTCCAGTGGGTTCCGCACTGGCACGACAACCAGAAGGTCGGCTGTTCGAATCCCGCTGAAGCGGATTTTTTTTAATTTTGCGAATGCATGCACTGTTAATTTTATCATTTTTGGCCAAGAAACGAGTTTTATGGCTTATGTGGCTTTGAAAATAAAGAAGTGAACCCTACCCCAAACATTACATGACATAAACACTAAGTCCTGGTGGTCCAGTGGACACCGCGCTGACTCGGCAAGCAGGAGGTAGTGTGTTCGAATCCCACTGAAGCTTTTTTTTTAATTTATCGAAATCAAGCACTGTTAATTCTACCATTCTTAGTTTACAAACGAGCTTTCTGGCTAAAGTAGCTTTGAAAATAAAGAAGTTAAACTATCCCGAAACATTACCTGACAATAAGTCCTGGTGGTCCAGAGGGTTCCGCACTAACTCGTCAACCTGGAGGTTATGTGTTCGAATCTGCCTAATGCATTTTTTTTAGTCAACAAACGAGCTTATGTGACTTTGAAAAGTAACAAAAGTTAAGCCTAACCGAAATTCTAGCTTGCAACACACGGTCTTCGTGGACTTGTAGTATACGCACTTTAAATATTTCTCAGCGAATCTTCTCAACATAAATTAAATTTTGGTTCGCGTTTCATAAAAATTAGGTAGCAATTCAAACTGTCTAAAATAATAATATTGTAAAGTAAGATACAATTGATCCGGCTATTTCTAGACCGAGCATTTCCTGCTTATACAATTTTGATAACAAGAATACATACAGGAAAGGAAGTCTGTCAGGGAGTGAAAATCCAGAGTCAAGAGAGAATGAAGTGAAGAGACATGGAATGAAACTTTATGGAAGAAGAATTGGAAGTTATAGTGGTAGTATAGAGAGAGGTGGGAAGAAAGGAAGAAGAGATAGGGGTGGAAAGATTACAGACAGACAGGGAGTTTGATGAAGGGTACTGCCAGTGGGTTAGATTAATGGGTCGTACCACATTAGACAGCAGTACCTTCTAGTCTACCACATAATAACACGTCACTGAAGTGAGTTGGAAATTGAGGAGGTCAAAGAGAGGGTCACCGGGGTGTTCTCTTATATTGAGAGGTACTTATTGTACCCCGTGCAATGCTTCGATTTACAGTACATCGAAGTCTTACTATTGGTATTAAGGCAATCAGAAACTGTCTGACTTTAACGACTAAATCAGGTTTTAAATAAAATTCATAAGCAGTTTCAATGGTCAACAAAATAAATTTAAGAGAAATTCCCTCCCTTGGAATAAAACGTATAATTATAAAACATTTATATTATCTAAAGTATACCAAGAATTCATTTATTTGGTTATTTATAAGTGGTCGTACTGTAAAAGAGTTACGTCCCTTCCTACAGAGCTCTTCAGTGTTGGAGGATCGACATGGAAACCTAACAATATGGCTGCCATTTCTCATCAATAATGTAAACATCGGATTAAAAGTAACCTTGTGGCTCTATTGGATGAGTTGACGAAGTTTTGGTTGATGAAACGGGGCACCACAAGATAAAGGAAAGGTCAAATAATGGCGGTAAGAAAAAAAAGATTCCCTATCCTTGTGAAAATCTCCATTTCCCATGTGTTCGAGTGCATCAAAACCATTTTATTTTCTAAAATTTTGTGTGCCTCTGCATCTGGAATCATCACCCATATTGCTTTAGTCCAAAATAAGGATTTATAAATCTGTTTTAATCTTGTAGGAAACAGAAATAAAGGGAAGGAAAAAATACTCCTCAAGTGAATGGAAGAAACTGACTCCACAAGAAAAAAGCCGCTATTTAGCTGTAAGCAATTTTTTTTCACAATATTTCATATTTTCATTAGTTGCCATACTAAAAATTGTTTTGAACTACATGTTCTGTGTGGTCAAAGAAGGCCAATTGCACAAGAAGCTAAGACTTAGTTTTCTTAGTTCTAAGATCATTAAGCTCTATTTATACCTTTTTATGCATTTCAGTATGAGGAACCATCAAAAACTATCCAAGAAACTCAGTTACAGTGCAAAAAAAGATTGATAGAATTACGGAAAGAGCAAGAATTGTAAGACTTTTTTCTTATTTTTTTATGTTACATTTATCGGCATTATTTTCTTGATGTCCAGCTGTAAATGGGTACAGGAACGATTTCAAAACCATAATTTTTGTCACGGGCCAAGTGGTATAAAAGATCCTGATTATTCCAGATGACCCAGCTGTAATAGGGTAAAAGCTAATACAGGAATCCAATCTTATCTTTTAGTCCAGTTGGTAGACAGAATTACTGGGTTTCATTTTAATTGAAGGAATAATCTGTTTTTTTTTTTTTCTTTCTTTCAGAAAAAATGCACCTCCTAAAGAAGATGAATTAATGGAAAAAGAGAAACATGCAAAATTAATAGGACAATTAAAGTAAGTCTTTTATAAATACACCAGAAATGTCACTGGAGACACTTTGGACAAGAAATTCATGATACCGGTACTCTTGTTTGATTTTAACTTTGGTGTGTTTCAGGGCAGCAGAAGCCAGAAATAGATTAAGAATTATGAGATTAAGATATCAAGCCAACAGAGTAAGTTTTGTTTTATAGAATACAACTATTATGTAGCCAAACAGTTCAGAGATTAAGCCAGATATGACTGGCACCTGCACCCAAAACTACCCCAACAGATGAAATGTAATTGATATTACAGTAAAGAACGCATTATCATAGCTAAATAAGAGACCCGTAACAAGTCCTATTTCCAAACCAGTTGTCCTGATGAGGATTTTATATCAGAGACACATGTCAGCCCAACTTGGAGGAGATCAATTTGTATGCTTTAATTCTCTAGTGTGCCACTGTTCTGTTTTTCAGGCTCAAGAAGTCAGCCATTTGATAGCCTGTCAACCCAGTGCTCTGAAAGCTGTTCGACTTCAAGCTCTCGTGCCACCATATCCTGATACTAAAAGCAGGAAGAACAAGATGGACAAGCTAGATGTAGGTTTATTTTTTCATAAAACTTTCCACTGGTTGGACAATTAAAGGGATTGTCAGCAACTGAGAGAGCTTAATTACAGCTATCTGTATCGCTTTTCAACAATTAGAAGTGTCAGGTGTCCAGCAAGTGTAAACATGCCAAAAATGGCATTTAACCAATGAAAATCTAAAACTAATTTGAATTTATTTTGTTTTGTAGATGGAAAGAGTTGAAATTTTATTGGAGGACACGAAAGGATTAATAACCAATAGAATCCATTGACACTTTGTGATCACAAGTAATAGACATGTTTCGCACAAAACATTTCACATCACTATACTTTAAAAACGAGGATAAATTGCCTCATTCGATACTGTGATAAAAAGTGTATTTACTGATCATCTTCTCGGATACTGAGGAATCTTTTATAGGAATCGTTAAGAATGTGTGTGTGAATCTTTTTTTTGGACAGTGTTGAATGAAATAGAAACCAGAATTATGAACAGAAATGGAAAAACCTGGTTTAAGAATTTTAAGAAGATTTTACCGTACAATATTGTATACGAGAACCCCTTGGGATATTTTATGTATGCTATATATATTTACACTAATAAATTATCATAAAAAATTAGTTTTTATCACTTGTTATCTCTGATATCAAAGGCTTTCAATCCCACTGTCACTATCTGTCACAAAACCCTTGATAACTTTGATAATAATCTTCAAACAATATAATGAATTCACCTGTGAATGAATTTATTGCCATGTGCAATAATGAACTCCATTTTAAACCATAATGAAATTCCCTGTGAATGAATTGATGATCATGTGCCATAATGAAATTCCCTCTGAATGAAATTATTATTGTGTGCCATAATCAATTCCATTTAAAACCATAATGAAATTCCCTGTGGATGAATTTATTGTCATGTGCAATAATGAATTCCATTTTAAATCTATGAGTTTCCCTGGGAATAAATTTATCATCATGTGCCATAATGAATTTCATTCTTAATCGATAAAGATGAACTCTCTTTTCTATTATAAATAATTAATTCTGTTGGGTCTCATGAAAAAATAATGAATTCCATCATAAATAAACTTAAAAAATTCACTGATTTATATACTCAAGACAAAAGAAAGTACTCAATAGCTTGTCAGAAAAAAAAAGAAGGTTATCAGTGGAGAGATAGATTGCTCAATCTCCAATATTAACATATCTTTCAACCACTAGATTAGGGTTAAGGCCTGTAAAGGGATTGTTTGAAGTCAAATGGAATTTGCAATTTTGACACCAAAAGTTTTTCTAGAATTAAAGAATCCACAGATGAGAATGGAGAATCTAAGAAAGATTTTAAGAGTTAACACACACAAAAAAGCCGTAAAACTTCCTTTAAAGCAGTTTTATCAAATAATGACTAAATCTAAATTCACAGATAGACTAAAATATTTGAACTAAGTCATTTAGAAGCAGCAAACCAGTTTTGTCTCATATGGAAACAAAACTTTGCTAAAATATCTGGGTCAGTCCCTTCAAAGTATCACAAGCCGGCAAGAGAACTGAACAAGTACAAATAGTCAGCTGATGAAGGCCATGACTAAACAACTTCTTTTAGTTAATATCTCAAACATCAGATAGGTATATTTATATCTGACCTAAATATCTCCATATACCACAGTTTTAAACCAATCAGAACACTTCATTATTGTGATATATGAACATATAGCCAATCAAATGCATTATTAAGTATGGTATACGAGTCATAACTCCCAGTAAATAATAATATTGTGAAGATATGTATATAGTATTTTATACTAGTGATTAATGAGTATCTGACCTGTGACCTACGCATAAATCTGTGCCATAATTTTTGACCAATGAAATGCCAGTTTTAAAAGAGGTGGTATATATGTTGTAATTGTATATATTCAATGGACTATTTTGTTATAGTGAAGTTTATGGGCCTTCACAGTGGCTGTAGAGGATTCACATATTCTTGGCAAGGCAAGTACCGAATATTTCCAAATTTTCAGTTGTCATGACAACACTGACTTATGCTTTTGAAGCACCAAATGCTAAAAGAGCACTGACACATTATGACATATGTTACTAAAGCTATTCAACTTTGACACATTTGTCACTAATATACAAGTCTTAAGAACAACTTTGTAACCTGATTTCACTCTGCAGTGAGGTCTTCCATTCGCATATTACTTATATTAATACATGCAAAATTTTCAGTTAGTTTTTAACTATAAGTTACAATATTGCCAACTAAAAATATAATCTTTTTTGTATTATATGTTCTATTTACCAAATTGTTTGCAAAAAAAATGCTCTGATTGCCTTAAATTGAATAAGTAAAGAACATTACGAACATATTTTCAATGATTAAGAACATAAGTAAGAAATGGTATTTATGAGAGAATTTGTTTTGGTGCCAAATTCGAAAGATCACCTTGAAGAAGGTGTCCTATTTGTGCCTCTTTATCTTTCATACAAATTCACTAACTTAGAACTTTATCATAATCGGTCAAACCTAATTTCTAAACCCTTTTTTTCCAAGTTATGATTTTGGATTGTCCAAAATGACCCTTAAAAACTGGAAAAGCTCTTAGTTCCCCAAAATTTTGAAACTGCTAAAATATCCTTAATTACTGGAGTCAAACAAAAATGTTAAATAGAAAAAGCTAATTTTCAGGGAATATTCACACACTTTGTCAATATAGATATGTATATTAAAGTTAGGTTTCCCCAAAATTTGTTCATTTTCCGATGCTTATTATTCGTCTTATGAAGCAGGATTTAACTATTTTTAAAGATGGAAAATGGAGAAATTTCAGTGTAAAAAACCTTTTTATTTCATCCTTGATATATGTTTTATTTAAGTTGGGTTTCCCCAAAATTTTGTCATACTCCGATGCTTATTTTTATCTTATGAACCAGGATGAAACTATTTTTAAAGGAACACATTTCTAAATACTTGACATTTTATAGAAATGCACTTTAAACACTAACCAATGCAAATACTAAATAAAAATATCAACTTTTCATTAAAAATATGGTGACAACTCAACCGATAACACGATCAGGTTTTCTTGGAAAAGAAAATCAGAATCTTGTCCCACATACAAAAGATTAGAAAACTTATTTCAAACCTATAAATTGCGTTCAAAGTCCATATTTGATCAGCCTACTCATTTTAAATTAGAAAATATTGTATTAAAGTAAAACCAGAAATAAGAAACCACTCAGAGTTACACGCTCCACGATCTTGATATCTCCATTTCAAACTTTTAAATTAAAATATTTATAAAAATTTCAATTAAGAACTATTATAATTGGGTAACTATCCTAAATTTGGCTTTAGTTCTTCATTCAAGCATGAACTGTTTCATTCAGAAAACTAAAGTAAGTCAACTTTAAACAGATTAAATTGCTATCTATTAAGTTAATAAAGCTCAATTTTAGCTATCTGTAACACTTTTCAAAATTAAAGTCTGGCATCCAGTTACCCTGTGATAATAGCTGTATATGGGAATTTTAATAACAACCTGACAACAGTCTAAATGTTGGTTAGTTTCTATTGAATAGTGTGAGAATCACATGAATTTGACTCCTGAAAAGTGATATGGATGGCTGAAATCTGCCTCTATCAGTTGGTAAAACTGTGTCTCTTATTAAATTGTAACCTTAAATCATGGGTTTTCCAAAACTGTATTCGAAAATAACATAATAAATTTTTAATGTATATAAATCCATAAATAGCCTTAAATCTGCTAATGTTTGCTTAACACATATTTGTATACGCTGCATAAATAAGCTATCTTAAAATCTTATTTAATTTTAAATGAATGTGTTTCTATATATAATGATTAATATGTTATCTATAGGACTAGACAAGATATTATATTTATTACATTGTAAAAGAACCATATGTCAGATTTCAATTTTGAAAATTGACAATATGTTATTCAAATAGGACTAGACAAGACAGACAGGTTTATTTTAATTAAATTGTAGAGAAACACATCACATTTTTATTCTGTAAAAGGCTACAGATAGCTGGAATTAACCTAACTAGTAATGTTAGGGGATCATGGAAAATTTTCTAATTAAAAAAAGACAGAGAATTTTGGCAGTGAAATTAGAATAAGTGTTTCATTTTTTCTGGTCTGAAGGGGCACCATGGTCCCCCCTCATTACGCCACTGTAAGGTCTCTTATAAATTCATGGCAACTTTAAGCAAAAAATATAATACAAATTATTGATTTAGTTTTATATAGCGTGATCAAGTTGATGAAAATATTGTGAATTATTATTTTTACTCATAACTGTCGACTGAAACAGCTGTACAGAATACATTATGATTATAGCAATGGTACACTAGAGTACAATATGTTCAGCTATAACCAAAAGAACATTAGACAATTCCAGAACATCACTAAGTTACTGTTACCCACCATGTCCATTTTTTCAGATGTTCAAAAATAGGAACTGAAACATATGATATTGAGAACACAACGTATTCTTTTGGATATTGTATATGATTTTAGATGTTCAAAAATGGAGCACATCATCACAAGGATCATAAGAGGACAAAGGAGCATCACTTTGATATGGAGAACACACTATGTTCTTTTTGAAAAACCAGTGCTGTATCCTCGCACGATTTCATATAAAAATCAACAATTTTCCATTTCTTTTCAGCTATGATTTAGGGGGAACCAACAGATGTCAAAATGCCGAAATCCCGTCAACTTGAAAGGGATAGAGTTATTTCCCTTGTTGCCAAGGCCTGTTTGTTTATGACCAGTACAGTAGTAGTGGGGTATTTTTTAATACCGTATAAACCACCAAAATTACCAACAGTGTTTGACCGTATTATATATACTATGAGGTGGCAGACATTTTCTTTGCTGACACTTGCAGCTGGGATTGGCAAAGTAGCCAATACGCGTCTGCAAACAACCGCCATTGATCCAATCAAAGGCAATGGAGAACATCATGTGACAATCGATGTTCACTACGTCTCGAACACTGTCGAACAATTATTCTTAAACGTGATTGGACAATTCATACTATGTACCTTTTTAACATCGTCTCAAATTCGCCTCATTCCAATTTTAGTGTTCTTGTTTGTGATTGGACGCATTACATTCTGGATTGGTTATCATAAATCGTACTTGGACCGTGCTTTCGGTTTCGCGACTACATTTTATCCAAACATTATTGTATGCCTTGCAAATCTTGCGTTTTTAATTTGGAATGGTCCAAGTTATGGATTTGGATTAATATGACATTTGTGAAAATCCAAGTTGTATTTCTATAATAACTTTATAATTGAAATGTGTCAGAAAAGTTAGAAAGTTTTTAATTTTGTGTGATGCCTCAAGAGGGACATGTCATTCAATAGCAGTCCCATTTCCACATTTTATGCAAATTTTATGCCAAATAATGCAAGACAACAACATGTTTCAAAATCATTGAATGCCAAAGATGCCTTTTTTCCATTCCATAGTCATAATGTTAGAATATATTTTGTAAAAATGATTTCCCACTAGCAAATCATAATCTTTCAATGAAGAACTATATAATTTTTCATTGAAGCACTATATAATTTTTCATCCAAGAACTATATAATTTTTCAGTGAAGAACTATATAAAGTTTCATCCAAGAACTATTTAATTTTGAATTCAAGAACTATATAATTTTTCAATGAAGAACTATATAAAGTTTCATCCAAGAACTATTTAATTTTTCATTCAAGAACTATATAATTTATTGAAGAACTATTTAATTTTTCAATGAGGAACTATATAAGTTTTCATCAAAGAACTATATTGTTTTTAAGTTTTTCCCACACACAAATCATATTTTTTCATTAATTACCCAATATAATTACATAGCAATTTTTTTAGGTTTAGTATAATATATAATATTTATTGATTTGTTGATGAATTTAGCCCGGTGATGTTAAAAAAGTGCTTGGTTTTCTTCAATTTTTGTTTGTCTTATTATATCGTGATCATCCTTATAATTTGTGATAAAAATTCTAGAGGAAATTGTTATTTATTTAAAACTATACTAAAAACTATATCTAAAAAAAGATTGCTTTGGTCAATTTCTAATTCAAAATATTGTTTGTCTTATCGAATCGTGATCATGCTTATAGTTCGTGATTAAATATAATGATCATATTTATAATTGTGATAAATATCTGGGTGCTGTTTGTATTACCAATTGTGATGGTGTTTTTAAACTTTGCCAGCAACAAATTCAATGCCTCTTAAATTCTTACTGCAATTTTACTAATTAAATGGTGCATTAAAAGTGTGATAAAAATTTTCATAATCTTTCCTCGAATTCATAATTATCTTTTGCATACATGTAACTATTTTTGTGGAATCATACTAAGCAAATAATTTAATTTTCAATTGTTTTAAATAAATATTATATAAAGAGGTTTTTTTTACTGGCCCTTGATTATAATCTATATGGTGATTTCAGTGTCATTACAAGGTCCCTGATTGACTGACAGTAGCGGCGCTAGCCTCCTGGAACTGTGGGACTACTGCCAGGATTGAGAATTCAATGCTGAAGCTCATAGGCACAAGCCTGCCAGGGTATGAGGTAAATTTGAATTGATTTGCTCCATTCAGACACATTTTTTTCTTGCAAATGAAGTGGGGGTACAATTGCATTTCAGGGAAGGGAGGTGGGGGGTTTGAAAAGTGGAACACAAATAAAAAATAAAAAATTAAAAACGGTTATTTAATTTCAAGATTTAAAGTTAGCTACCCCACTGTATCCTTTTATGGTGAGTTTTTTGGCGGCAATAAAATTAGCAGACGCCAAACTCTGCTGAAGACTTTTGCTCTCTAATATGGAGTCTATAAAAGCTGCGACGAAGGTATCTCCCACACCAAGTGAGTCCACAATTTTAGAGTTATCAATTTTTTCACCAGTGACGTCTAAGATATCATTCCCATCACGCTTTGCTGCAGCGCCTTCATTGCCCCATTTACATATCACAGTTGCACTAAAAGAATTCAGAAGGATTCTTGAAAAATGTCGGATGGAAAAAAGGTGATATGTTTTATAGGACGCAGATATTTCAATTTGAAACAAATTAACACAAAATTTACCCTGATGTACACTGCAAGGCATAGCATATCTTCATTTACATTCAGAAAAGAGGGGTGTAAAACTCCATTTCATTTAAATGATTAGAAATTATACTTACTCTTTTTTGACTAAGGTGGAAAAATGCTGTACAGTAGAATTTTTATCTTTAAAACCATTCTTTGTGGCATAATATTTACTTATAAATAAATAGTCTACTTTATTTACCAGGCCTTCTGAAAAATATACAAACACCAGCTTCAAACTAACAAGAATTGTATTCAAGTTATCCCATTGTACACGGATATATCATATTTTTGTTAACATTGTATAACACCTGAAGGACCTGGGTTTGATCTGGTAGGTCAAGACAAACCTTTGGATTTTTCCCCCTGTCAATGATACAGGTATGAGGGCCTCAAACAGAAATTCTCTTTGAATAGAATGTTGCATTCCCTAAAAGTTCTGAATGGAAATAGGGTAGACCTATGCCATCGTTCTGGCAAAATGTTTCCCATTGTTGGCAGTCTTTATTATACCAATATATAAGCAGAAAAGCAGCATATTATTAAAATTCCACTTCATTTCTAAGGCAGTCTAAATATCTTACCTATATTTGTGATGTGATCAGGGTTATCTAAGCCTACTGAAGTCACTATATTGTGTTTGCTTTCTAACTTCTGTATTCTATCTAAAACCATTATTATACATTCTACATTGGGACGACCCTAAAAATATCAAATAAAAACTTATGTAAAGGGCAAGCTGGGGAGATTTTTTAAAATTTCTGCAGATTTTGGAAACACATTGAGCTTTTTCATTCATTGTCGTATAGAAGGGAATTTGAAAATCTGTTTTTCTGTCAAGCTTGACCAAAATTCTAGAAACAAAGGAAACTATAAAAGAACTCACTTCAAAATGGATCCAGCAATATTGATGTAAGTTTTGTAAAATATCTGTAAAATCTTCTTCTTTCAATTCAGGCAAATCTCTGTAAAAGTTATAATAAAATATAACCCATTTTCTTGGTGCTTATCAAAATGGGCAATACCATGCAGTGTACAATGAAGGAAATTTTGACAAGACAGCCCCTCCAACCTGCATCAATGAAACCAGGTTGTGAGAAACAACAAAGACTGTAGGCCTACTTACTTGAGAGTATATAATACAGTAGAAGAACCAGTATGTCTGGACAATAAAACAGTAGCTATAGGAACCTCCTTGCCTTCTGTTAATACACAGTGGTCTGTATTAATACTGTATTTCTGTAAATCATCCTTTAGAAACCTGCAAAATAGAAGGCCTAGTTATGCGAAGACTAAATAATCCTGAAACACACAAGTTCTGTTTTTGGTCCTCTCTTAAGGACAAGACACTTTCCATGTCAGCCCTTCTGGCTTGTATCACTGACAAGGGTAGATCAGGTGTATTCTAAGGTAAACATTAACATAAAGCTACACTTACTGATACTCTGAACTATCTTTTGGTAAAACTGTTAACAATTCACATGGCCTCCCCAATGTTGATAATACTGATGCTGTATTGGAGGCATTTCCTCCTCTCTGCCAATAATAATCCATGATTCTGAAATTTAAAAGGGGAATTTACAGACATAAAAGATCACATCTGTCAAATCTGACATCTGTTCGGCCAGCAGCTTTTTCATGTTGGTCAAAACAAAGCTGAGAATCATTCAGGCGGAGAGCAATCATAATCCAATTTCATTGGTTACTGTTACGCTGTTTCGCAATGACAGCTTTATTGACACTTCGTTTTTACAAAATATAAATGATCATTGACCTTGACAACACTGCTGCTTACCCAGTGTCGTCTGTGTCTTCCTCGGGAAATGTCTCTACCACAGTGACAATATCCACACATGTCCAACCAACACATAAAACTCGTTTCTTTTCTGAACCTATCTTTTCTTCCATGGGGGCTGCCATTTTCTTTTTATCAGCTGAGCCATATAATCAAAGGGAAGTAACTCGATTTAAAATTTTGAAAATGGCTAAAGAACACGTTTAAGTTAATAAATTTTGCGACCTAAAACAAGCGTAGAAAGCGGCTTTGAAATTGGCTTTTTTGGGGTGAACTTCTAATCTTTTAAAGACATTTTACTTCATTTACAGGGGGACTTTATTTTATTTAGGAGATAATAAGCATTGGCACTGCATTAATTGACTTTTAAGGCCTATAGGATAAGCTATGATCTTTCGACAAACAAAATCATGTCAGTATTCGAAAATATCGTACTATTTACTAATGGACTCCCCAAAAGTGACCCTGAGTTGAAAAACATAATCATAGAGTCTCGTCAGGAGTCACAATATCATGAACTCCCCAGGCTAACCATCATAGTAGCCTTCAGACTTGATTCAAGTCAATAGTACAACTTGCCTCAGCATTAGCAGTTAGGCTACAAACAACAATTAATTCGCCATCATTTAAAATCGAGTTACGTCCCTTAGACCATGTATAAATTTTTGATTTATTGACCATTGAGAATACTTAAAAAAATTATCTATAACCTATTTTAATCACTGGTTTCTGTCAGTATCGAGTCGGTTAGGGTAATAACAGATCCATGATAAGTTCTCAAGTTAATAGAATACCCTAGCCCTGACATAGGCACATGGCTTTTCTCCCAGTCTCTTCTACTTTGTCTTACCCCATTTCTAATCCCGTTCTCATCTGCTTCATTTCCACAAACCCCACCTGTCTCATCCACTTCTCTAATCACTCCCAATATATCATCTCTACCTCCACAACCCCTGCCCCCTTCATAACTTAGCCCCAGCTCCTGTCCCTTCTTCTTCACTCACCCATAGCACCACACCCCAGTCTTTCCTTCTCCATTCCTGTCTGCTAGACCCTACTTCATTCCCCATTTGATTCTTTTTTTCAGTTGAATGACATTATCTCATAAAACACTGCAGGGAGAACAATAATTCATTTTCAGTATTTTATTTTATAGAATCATTTAAACATTTGTACTTTGTTTTTGTAAAATATATTATAATGTACATTTATTCTTGCATACAGTCAACAGTGTCCAGTTAAACACAGATATTTATAAATATCTCTGCTCCATCATCAATTCTAACAACCTCTATATTTTACCCATTTACCAGTACTTTAACAAATATACTTAATAAAATTCTTTTGCAAACTTAAATAAATTTTCAAAAAAAGGTATCTAATGAGCTTTTTTGAAGTTTACGTTACATCTATATAAAAATTCTAGCCACCATTTCCAAAACTATTTTCCTGATGAGGATTTTATGTCTGAAACATCATGCAGCATCGATCATTCCATCCTAGAATTTTGTTAGTTGAGAACTGAATCCAACACCAATCAAATTAAGTAACAGGAATATTTGAATTCCTTGTATCAAAGGCTAGATTTTATTTTACTGACTCGCCAACCCTTGCTGAATCAAAGTGGTTGTCTAATGATATGTACATTAAAAACATAAATAAGGTGAAAATAACAATAAAATTAGGTACAACAAAGTTTACTTTCAGAAACTTAAAGATTTTTTGCTTCTGACTGAGAATTTACCACAAAAGGTCTTGAAATTTTTTAAGTTAATAAATAAATAATTCTAGTACAGACCAGCTGTGAAATAGTCCTAATATAATAATAAGTCATTAAATATTTGCTTTACCATAATACACTGAACAAATGACCAAGATTTGAACTCACAAGCGCTATTCTTCCTATTGACGACTACAACTTGCTGGATTGAGCACAAAATGCCATAAAGTTCTAAATAAATTAACAATAAATACGAACCCTGATAGTTAAAAATCGACAAGAAATCAACCAAAAATATCATAAAATAGGCCCTAAAGGTATATGGGGTTTAAATATTTCAAAACACAAACTCATTTGCTTGCTTACTTTTCACCATGTTTAGAACTGTTACCCTCTATTTTGAATACTAGATGTCCTGATGAGGATTGTGTATCTGAAACATGTATCAGCAGCATGTGATGAGCTTTAGTCAATTCAAAAAAGATAAAAAAAATCTATTTAATGCTCTTCCAAAAAGCCATTTAAAAAGTAGAATTTTGTCATTTAAAGTTAAAAAAAACTAAAAGGGGATGTTTCAACTAATAAATTTATACACATCTGTCACAGCCTACATTTTCCTGAATGTTTTCTGTATAAATTAAAATCAACTTTCAAGAGAATTTCAGTTGATAAAATTTAAAAACAGACACATCTGAAATTTCATAAAAATAGTCCACATATTATACATAATTCTCTTTCTATATACATTAAATTATACATAAATACACCTGCATGAAAGAGATTTTGTCATTTAATTATTTACTTCACCAGCTGATTGGACCATCTGTATCACTTTTCAAAAGACAAATATGATATGGGGTTGTATAAAAAATAATGACTGTGTCAATATCTATTGAAATTTTCAAGCCATAGTCTTAATTTAGAGTAGAATTTCATTTTTATAGGCTATGGTTAACTTGAATAGAAGTCTATCAACTGGTGAAATGATAAATTAGACGACCAATTCCCTTTAATGACATGGTCATTGCTTTTGTGGACAATCTTGTTTTCAGGCCAACTTAATTACCATAAGGCCATCATTTCCCAAAATATGTCCAAAATGCATAAAAATTACTCATTGCAACAAGTTATAAAAATTTCATAAAAAGCTTCTTTTAATTCAGAAACAAAAATAAAATTGCATCTTGCTCTTACCATGGTAGTCCGAGTTATAATTGAAACCCTTGATCCCATAAGCATTGAATAAAATAATCTACCATTAATCATTTAGACTGCATTACAATTGGTGGCACTTGATTTGTGGCTTCTGAACACGTTCTGTTTGTGAAACACTTCAGAATTGTCAGCATTTCAGCAAAGATGGAACATGCTCTGAACCCTCACAATCAAGCGCCTCCAAGATGGAGGATATTATTCAAATGAAAACATTCCTGAGACCTCAATTTACAGTATTCAATGAATATCTGCTAGTAGGATCAAGGGATTATGTGGAAAACTCGCACTGCCTTTCAGCCAGAGAATCAAAAGTGTACCAAGAATCCAAGCCGCAAGCTGGACCTCCATTTTTATCAAATTGTCACAGAAGCTCGGATGAATTATACAAAAATAACTTATATGAATATACATAAAATTTCAAACTATAAATAGACCACTGTTAAAGTTTGGTTGTTTCTGATTGTTCATTGTATTCCTTTGTTTCAGCGAGACTGGAATTTTTGCCTGATTTTGGTATGTCGGTTCCTGACAATTTCTCATTCTCGTTATATGACATGGCATTGGATTCTTCAGTGATGTCACTAACGATGCCAGAATCCACAATGTCGCCTTCATGAGATTTCACGTTTAAAGTTTTTGGACGAGCATCGCCACTCTCCATGCAATTGGACTTTTCTACACTATTATGTAACAAGGCCTCGGGTTGGTTGAGCTTCGATTTATTTTCACTTTGAGAGACAGTTTCTGATTGGATCTTTAATACTTCATTCAAGGATTTTGTGACTTTTTTGTGATGTAAGGAGAATTCTGATTGATCGATATGAGACAGGTGACCTGAACTTTCTAATGATTGTCCGTTGCTGTCGAATTCCTCAACGTCTGTGGACATGACACTTCCACTACTAACGCTAAGATTTCGTGGGGTTTCCGAACCCTCCATGGACTGTAGTTCGGGTATCTGCGTAAAGGATTCGACCTCAGGAAATTCAGGACAATAATCCTTCCCTCCTACTATTTCGTCTAGAATATGATCTGATGGACGGGTCTCGCAAGCACTGCCGCAGGACTCAGTATTGCTGGCTTGTCTAGACATCTCACAGATACCACTCTCTGTCAATGATACCGTGCTTTGTGTCTCAGAGATCTGTTCATAATACAACTGAAATGAAGAATTTGAATAGAAATGAAGAATTAGAATTAAAAATATAGATTTGATCTGGAATAAAGATAGGAAAGGGAATTGAAAATTTTGAATTGAATGAAGATTTTGAATTAAGATGAAGATTTTGAATTGGAAATGAAGAATTTGAATAAACTAAGGAGAGAAGAATTAAAGTCCTACCTTTCTGGCCCGAAGCTGTTCTAATGAGGCTGGAATCTCCTGAACGCTACAGGGAGCTCGTAGGTTTAAAGATGCAAACTGAGTGATCACTTCTGGACAATGGGTGATCAATTTAGTCTGAAAGAAAAAGGGTAACAGTTCTAAATTGGTCCATGTTTGTGTGAAACAGAATTTGTCATCAAACTCTTTGGCACATGATTGGGAACAGGAAGATTTTATGCATGGAAATTTTGACAGACGTGAACCAATTCTGTTTTGATTCCAACTGTCAAGGGATTTATTACATGCGTTTCCAGTAGCATTTATTGCCATCACTTGAAAAATCTAAAAATAGACATACCATTGATGGTTTTCGGGACTTCCCTCTTTTCTTCTGTGTTTTTTTCACATTTCCACCAATAAAGTCATTATCTTCGGATTTCTTTAATAAGATCAGATTTCCATCTTCCAGCTCTTCTGCTGGACCAGATGATGCTCCTGAAAGGTCAAAGGTTGGGTGGTTAAGATGGTAAAAAGTCCAGAGACACTGATTTGCTCACGTATAAACGGAATTCAAAATGGGAGAGAAAGGAATAGAAGATTAAATTTTTATCTGGTTCTATACTACTTCATTGACGCCTAGAATTGGAAAAGATCTGCGCCAACCTGATCACAGATACTTGAAATAAAATCCAATATGGCCACCTAAAGATGTAAAAGTAGGATTTGGATTTTTACCTGAAGAATAAGGTAGTTTATCACTGCAGGAAGTAGGGGAATCTGTAGAAGGAGTGGTAGGGGTGGTTGGAGTAGTTGGGGTAAAAGGAGTGTACGGAAATCCTTGCAGATAGCTGATTAGTGTGTTGCATAGCAACTTGTCTTGTTCATACGGTACCCTCAATTCTTCTAGCTCTTCTCTGTGGAAGATAAAAAAATACAACATGAATATTTTTGAGTTAAGATCTTGGCGTTATTGAGATGGAAATTGAAGTCAACGTCAATAAGTGTGCAATGAAGAAATTTGATAGAGCAGCAGAGCCAATTTCTCCATTCTTTTTGGCTCCTCATCTAAAGCAGACTTTGGCAAAATTTCTGGAAAAAATGGGCTTTGATTTAGAACTTCTATGAGCTGGTTAAGATATAAGTTATAGGACCATGTCCCTTTCAAAGCTACCAGCTTGTGTAGCAAATAATTCAACATCCATATCACTTAAAGGTGACTTACTCTTCTCTCTGTTTGGCCTCAAGAACAGCTTTTCTCTCCTCTTCCTTTTTCTTAAAACTTTCTTGTCGTTTTTTTTTCTGGGCATCCTGAAACTCTGCTTGATTTCTCTTGAAGTCTTCATACAGCTTCCGTTTGGCGGCGTACAATTCATCAATTTCTAAAAGAAAAAACATCAAAATCCTCTTATATTAGTTTTAGTAAATCTTCATTTCCAAAACTAGTGATCCTGATGAGGATTACATATCCTACACACTAAGAGATGTACTCTCAGCTACAATTGTTTTTGCTTGAGCTAGAATCCATTGGGCATTTCGTCAGACATTTGTAAATGACCATAATTACAAAACTCTATAAAATAAAATGTACCTTTCTTCAAGGCCTCTGCTGTAATTCTATTGGCACTGAGTTTGCGTTTGGCCTCATCTTCCTGAGATCGAAGTTGTGTGATTGTTCGTGAATAATGCTGCAAAAAATAAACAAAAACATATCATTATTATTCAAGATGAATAAGAAAAGTAGTATCTAGTTTTACAACTCCTGTTCAATGATTACCAATTATGTTACAATAATGGTAATGTATTAAATTGTTGCCAAACTAGATGTCATATTTTCATTCTGATCATTGCTATGGAGAGCCTTGATTTAACTATTGGCTTAAAGATACCCACAATTCCCACAAAGTACCAAAAATATTTGACTTACATCTCTCTCTTCTCTCATGCGTCTTTGTTTATTTCTTAACTCATCCAGCTGAGCTTTAGCATTGTTATACGTGCTGAAAAATAATTGAAAGAATTTATTACAGAGCAGGACAGTGTACAACGAGGAAAATTTTGTCAAGAAAGACAATGTTATTCATCAATGTCTGAAACACAATAAACCTATATTTTTTAGTCCCATCACAATGAATGCGATAGCTTTTCTAGTTCCAATGACCTACACCACTAAGGGAAAAACTGGGCACATGCCCTGTCCCACAATCCTCCAGATTTTAGAGCAACCCACAGTGTTTTGATCAGCACAAAGACACAAAGAAAGGAATGTTACTTACTTGAGACTTATTTTTGAGCGTTTTAATTTGTCAATTTCAGCCACAATTCTCCTTTCTTCTGTCAGTCTGTAGGAATGGTGAGCCAGGTTCCATTCCAATTTCCTGAAAGCAGAAACCAAATTTGTTTTTTTTCTGTACAATCTTCCAAGTATCCAGAGATTTTTAATGTACAAAAGGGTCTAGAAGCCTGGACCTCAACGTTACTACGCTAGCATCTGCCTAGCAACCGTGGCTTCAACAAAGAGAGGTAAAAATTCAAAAATTAGTCTCCTACCTTATAGCATCATTGTGTTTATCTTCATTTTTATACACCAACCCAGACTGTAGTTGAGATACAGAATAGATCTGGAAAAAATAATGTGTAATTTATGATATAAGATTATTTGAGGAGGAACTGTAGCACGCACAATTGGTTGAGCATTTCCAAAAAAACATCCGACGTGCATTTCCAAATAAGGTAATAAGCATTCACATACCTTTTCTGAGATTTCCTTATTCAAAGATTTTAAATCGTTGTTGATTTTCTTATTTCGATCAAAAGTGGCATCTTTTTCCAGTCTGATGCTTTTGAGCGGGCTACTACTGATCGAAGATTTGAGTCCAGCCTAAGAAAAAGTTAAGGAACAACAATCTAACATTCAAAATTAATTGAGATAAAAGTTTGGTTATGTAAGAGAGCTCTCCGAACAGGAGTGATTATATATTAAGTCATTATTCAAGCAAGGATACATATTGGGACTCCAACTCTTTCAGTTTATTTGTCAGACGCTCTAGTTCTTCTTCAAATTTCTTTTTATTGGGTGGTTTTAATTTTCTGGAATCTGAAATGATAGGAAGTGAAAATACTTTAGATATAGTCAAGCAACCTCTTTTGGGCTCTTTTCATTTTGAGATTTTTCTGGAATTGCAGAGGTCTCAGACATGGGGGAAATTGGAATGGTGCAACTTAATCGAAATGAAATGGAATTTTACACGTTTCCTTCACATGATTGGTTGGAGACGGGCAAAGCCATGCACTGTGGAATGAGAAAATTTTGTAGTTTTGTAGATTTTCTAGTGTCAAGGGATCTTTGACGTGCACCGCTTGTAGCACAAGTGTCCCCAGAGCCCTAAATGTCCTCAATATAAATGCAAAGACATGAAAATAGCTTTTCAATCTCTTAATGCCCTTGAAACAGTTTTCAAGGCAAAGAATTTGGACAAAATTCTGATGCAAGACATCACAAGTATTGTGAAATATTTTCCACCAAATTCCTTTGAGTTGAATATCTAGTGAAAATGTCTTATCAACATAAAATAGGTCAACTTGGGGTTAAAAAGGTCAAAGTCTGTATAGTCCCTGCTGAGTTTGACCTAATTTAATCCATTATTATGGTCACTCTCAAATAGCAACGTGTAATAAGCCAATTTGTTAGTATAAGAGGCTTTGTTGCTTCGGTTAAATGTCAATAAAAACATCTGTTTTTCCCTTAACCCTTTTAAATTTCAAAGCCTAGATTAAATCAAGAGCAAACTGTATCCAAATTTTCAAGATTTATGTTTTAATTTTGGGACAAGGCAAAAAATAATGTTTAAAAATTGGAAATATTGACCAATGGTTTTGGAACCATTACAACAACCCAAAATTAAGCTCAGCATTTCAAAACGATATCAGCCATAGAAAATCTAAACTTCGATAACTTGCCATTGGTAGATGCTGGAAGCATTCTGAGAAAATCCTGCTTTTGGTCACTTTCGGCCATAATGACTACCCTTTTAAAGCCTATAACTTAATCCTTTTTACTGTCACCAAAAAGACATGAAAACAATAAAGAATATACCTAAGTCCCGGATATAAACAACATTGTACTAGTAGATTGCCCCAGGGCTATAGTTAATCCTGTAGTAAAATTGACAAGGGGTGTGGTTTTAGTCTAAAATGCTGACATAGTGCTTACTGGTGTCTTTACATCATATCTATTTATAGTAACCTAGTAATGTTTTTAAAGCATGTTTTAACTAGGTTGTTTAACTAGGTCAACAGCATGGTACAATAATACACATATTGTCATGCTTGAAAGTGTACTGTGTACATTTTTCACATTGGTTAACCCTTGTTTATAAACAAACTCATCATGTCGAGCTATAATAAACTGCATCTTAATCACAGAAGTTTGTAAATGCAGTGATTTGATTGGATTCTATGCTAGTGCCAATTATAGCCCTGAATTACACACCCAGTCAGTTATTTAGTCTTTCTGTTTTGGGCTCTGATTGGCTGTATTTGCTAGTGTAAAATCCAATCAAATTGCTGGATTTACAAACTTCAGGGATATAAGAAAGATCAATATTTACAGTTATTAAGCAGTTCATAATAACTTGACATTGTGAAGATGAAACGAACTAGACAGAGCATTAAAGAAGCCATAGCTGTATTAAGACTCTCAAAAATGAATGACGACTTTACATACCCAGAGGAAGCATAACTTCAGGTGTTACAGAAGAGTTAGCTAGCCCTGTCTCTCCAGCAACACCTTATGAACATGATCTTCTAAGAACTTTCCCTTAATTCTTATAGTTCAATTAGCATATATACATGGTCACAAAACTAACATCAAATGATGGAAATGTAAAAATAAATTATGACAACAATTCTAGCCAATCAAGATAAAAGATGCATGACAAATCCCATAAGGCAAGTATATCTAAATATATCATAGGAACACATACGACTAATTATCTCAGGATATCCTTAACTGGGAAGTGAATAATAAAATGTGAAATACATTGTGAAAAACAACAAATTTACATTATGAAAATTTATCTGAATTAAATAGATTGAAAAGAGTTTTTTTTTCAATAATAATTATGTATTAGGGACACTGATAGCATAACTATGACCTAAAAATATTGATATAAATTGGACAATATATTTATCCTAAACAGTTAATATCTATCAGCAAAGGACATGGATAATCAAAACCAGTAGTCAATTCTACAGATCTTTTAAATAATGGACTTAACACACCTAATCAAGTAATTAATTTAATCAACTACAAGGCAGCCACTAATAGTAAACAATAGGTCTATCAATCAATTAACAGACCCTATTGACACCTTAATAGATAAAGAGCTCTACTCTCCGCCATATATTTGATTTACTGGTACATCAAAACCCTTTCAATTCCACTAACAGAAGGAGAATTCTACAGAAGAAGTCAACAGAAAAAAACAATAGTAGAAAACGTAGGAGCAGGTCGGTCATCATTCCTTCCACACAGATAGTACGTCAATATTGAAGTCCCTATTGCCTACTGTACTAATCTTGTGCAATAAATTCCCAAGGATTTGTTTGTGGGGTAGGCCTAGTCGTTTTGAACTTAATAAAAAACAACAAAAATTCACAAATACAAGGGTGAAATTGACACGAGTGCTGGCATTTAAGTATACATGCATCTTTTGTGTGTTTCATATTATATAAACGAACAAACTGTTATTAAAAATATCAAGTTGAATTGTGTATCTTTTTTTTTATGTTTTACGATTGCAAAATTTTATAAATTGTTGATAATGTTGTGTAGAAACAAACAGAAAAAGAGGCAAAAATACATAAATCTAACCGAAAGATTCCTTAAATGGTGGTTCTTTCTGTTCCTCCATATTTCTTTGATGCAATTAAGTCTTGTCGACCTCCCGGGCCGTCTCCGACATCTTAATTATTGCATGGTGCTGAAGGTGTGAATCTCGGTGTCCTTTCAGTCAGCCATTTTGGAATTTATAGTCATGTGACTTTAGGTTTATGTTGAAGGTCAAGGTTGTAAAATTAATTTGCATAATTTTTTTTTCAAAATTTAAAATTAAATCTTTTAGATGCCATATGGTGCAGAAAATATCGAAGAAAGTTCATATTATTCCATAACTAAATTTAGGAACCCAATTTTAATGGCCTAGTGACCTAATTCCGATATAACGGCCCATTTAGACATTTTTTTTTTTATCTACCTAGCATTTCATGCATCAAAATGTAGGGCACCTGCTTGGTGTATACAAGATTCTTGCGCCAAGATTATTTATTTTACAAGTAAATTTTGTAACTTTTGGGACAAATTTTCAATAAAAATCACAAAATCCTTTAAGAAAATCAAACTCAATTTGCACACTGCTGCATTTTCGTGGCCAAATTTGTAATTTCTTCTCCGATCTATTTTCTTGCGCAAGCGGAAATCACTGGGAAATTGAGCGGGAATCAATAAGGACGCCATCTTCGAAGAATTTTAGCCGCATCAAAATAATGAAGAATATTTTTGTCATCTATTGCAAAAGACCACCGGATTAATAAAAGTTATTTGTGCAATAGTGTTGTTCGCGTATTCGACCCTTTGGAAATATTATTGAAGGTAGGTCAAATTATCTATTTTTAGGTGAATTATCCAAAATAAAATGTCACAGACGGAAGACAACTCTCCTTCCCGAACTCGCCAGTCAACGTTGCTGCATGGATTGTAAATGAAATAATATTGCATGTCGCCTCGACATTAGAAATACTACTAAAACATCGTTTGTAACTTCTGTCCTGGATTTAAGGGCGATCGGAATTATTTCAGAATCGTTTTGGTCAATTTTGCGACCGGAAGCCTTCATGGATTTGTTTGTTTTGATATTTTTGCGCTGCCCGCCAAATACGGTTTGTTCGGCCATATTTGTTTATTAACCCTTTATGTCCCATAATTCACATCCTTAACCCTTTTAAACGCTATAATGCATATTTCTATTTTGTTAATCTGTAATGGTAATAAATAATAGCAGCATTTAATTCATTGCTCTTTAATCAGTCTTGTAGGATTTAAAAATAAGTTGGTAATTTTTTTTTTTATCCAACGGCAACATATGCTTTGTTTACAACAATCCCAGTTTATGATGTATTTTTTGTTTTTCAGCTTTGTTTGTAAATATATATAAATCAAGATGTTTTACGCACATTTCGTGCTCAGTAAGAAGGGGCCATTGGCCCGAATTTGGTTGGCGGCCCATTGGGACAAGAAATTGACCAAAGCTCATGTGTTCGAAACCAACATTGATTCCAGTGTAGAGGCCATTTTAAAACCAAAGGTGACCATATACCTGCATTATTGCTTAAATAGAATTTGAGTCCTCTCCTAAGGCCTTTTTGGCAGCATTTTTCAATCCCTTTAAGCTTACCAAAGACAGACTATCAGTTGAAAAGTATTTCTCTGTTCAACTTTAGTATAATTAATGTGCCTTATTGTTAACGATTTATTTTATAATTATTCCTGTTTATTTTCAGGTTAAAATGGCATTAAGAACGTCAGGACATTTATTGTTGGGTGTAGTGAGAATTTATTCCAGAAAAGCCAAGTATTTATTAGCTGATTGTAATGAGGCATTTGTTAAAATCAAAATGGCATTCAGACCAGGTGTGGTGGATCTTCCAGAAGAAAATCGTGAGGCTGCAGTGGCCGCCATTACTTTACAAGAGAATTTTCATGATTTTGAAACTACGTTAGCAGATTTAGAGTAAGTATGGTGCTCTGTTGAATTTAATTACTCATTGAGAAAGATATGCTATATACAAGTTTTTAATTCTCTAGTCCTTATTGAAGGACAGAGAACATCCGTTTTAAAAACATGTCCTCTTTGAATGAAATGCTCTCTGTATGACCTAGTTATTCCACCATGTCCTTATTCCAGCCTACAGTGTTTATTATTCAAAAAATGATGTCCATGTCCTTGATTTTGTAGAGATCTAGATGTTCAAGCTCAGTTTTCTGTGAACCAGAGTCGTCCAGAAGAGATCACAATGAGAGAAGATTATGCCAACATTACTCTGCTCAATGATGATGGATTCGGTAAGTTACTCAATTCCTGGAAATGATTCCTTGAAATTATTTTGCTCATTCTTTATTGATGTTTAATTCTATAATTCATTATGAAAGTTGTGGGAGTTGCTCTTATTTATGAGAATTTTACAAAAAGAATAAGAAAAAGGTAATCATGTTAAAATAAATTTTAAAAAATGATTCAAAACAAAATAAATTTCTTCCTTGTTTGAAGAATTGATATTAATAATCCAATTCCAATTAAATAATTTCATAGATCTTAAAATTTGGAATGTAATGATTTTAAATTCAACTCCCAGCAACTCCCATTTCTTCCATATTTGAAATGTTTCTTAAAATCAGGAGATGACGATCTCGAAGGTGAAATAGACGAAGATGAAATATGTCTCATTATGTACGGGTTTAAAACATGTCTTAAAGACCATCCCATTGACTTTGATGTCATCTTGGAGCTGGTGGATCAAACCAGTCCCACTAGACTTCGTAGTTTTAAACGGCAGCATTCATACACCTTCGAAGGAGAAGAAACTCTGAAACTTTTCAAAGATAAAACATGTGATTCAAATGGCAACATTGTTCAAATTTGTGATACTGAAATTATTAGTGCTAATTCAAGTGTGTCTCATGACACAGCCAGGGAAACTATTAAAGTAAATCATCCTGCATCATCTTCAAGTGCTGAATACTCAGGAAGAAAATCACCTGAAAAACAATCTGTGTCAGTTAGCACCAACACGGATATTAGTTCTCTCACGTGTTCCCAGTGTTCCGAGCGAATCCCCAGCACTGACAGTGGAATTAGCTTGAGTTTCCAGTCGGAACCGAGCTCCTCCCAAGCCTGTGATAATGACTCTTATTTATGTAGCTACCATCAAAAGTGCTGTGATCGTTGCCACTCGGCTTCAACTTTGACTTCCACTCCATATAAGGAAAACCCTGAACCCAGTGATCTTCTCTGTGATTTAACCCCTCCAGTGACCCCCGAAAGAATTCCCGAATCTGGAAACGCTTCACCAAATTCAGTTGCCAGTGAGGACCTTTGTCCGACATCTCCGAAAAAAATCGCTAAATTGGACAGTGGCATTTGCATGGATGGGGATCCAGGTTTCTATGATTTTGAGGATGAGGCGGAAACGGTAGGCTGCCCTGGTCCACCGTCACCTATCAAATCTAAACCATCCAAAGAAGACATTATTCGTAAATTTGAAGAACCAATCCTTGACCTTCCGTTGAAGTTGAGATGTTCTCGACGTCTACGCTGGAGAAAGGGTAAGAAGTTCGTGGCGGGTCAAAGGTTATTTTAGCGTTAGTTACGTTTGTATTCCAATTGGTGGCCTTGTCTACTGAAAAATTCTCAAATCCTTTGGAATGATCTGTTACTAAACTTTTCTTTTAATTTAGCCTTTGACCCAAAGTGAGCTTCTTGCCGAAATTTTCCCTAGCGTTTTCAAAATTGGAATTTTTCAATCGATAGGATCCCAATTGGAGTGTGAATTGTAAATTTGAGTTGGTTTTGTTTTATATCTTTGGCCCTTTACTTGACTTCTTGGTACTTGGTTGCATGTGTAATTTAACAATTAGGTTCATTCAGATGGACATGGACAAGAAAGGAGACCTGATTGGAGTCAAACTTGGAAGGGCAAGGACAATTCTCGGGATTCTTGTTGTGCTGCCAAGCTTCCTCTGGCATTAAAACGTGAATGGATTTGTATGCAGCTGACATTGTGTGCTGTCTTTGTAGCTGTAGGAGGACTAAATAGGAGAACATAAACTTGGAGCACACAGAACATGACTCTGAAGCATTACTTAGGAGCATCTTTATTAGGAAGACTATAGGAAGAACATAGAGCTCTGCCCTGGGAACCTTGATCTGCAAAAGAAGAATGACAAAGCATTGAAGAATGCAAATGTTGACATTCTGTCTAACGTTTAGCATTTACCAACCCTTACTGGTAGAAAGAATAAGGTTGCTGCCACGTGGAAAGAGAAACTAGAGTGTTAAAATAGCTTTACTTTTTCTTACAGGCGATGTTGGTGGATTTGATGAAAGAGAAATCTTACGAGATCAATCTCATGTTGATGATCCATTCTTCAAACCAGCTGATATTACTGATATGGAAACCACAAAAGACCAATCTATGGCAGAGGCCAATGATTTGGGCAAACCCATGGATATTGATTTGCCTCAAAATGAAGATGGTTTTGGAGATGGAATTCCTTTCATGAGTATGTATTCTCTCTTTTTTGACAACTCAATTAGTTATTTTGGGGAAATTCAGGTTGTTGTTATTAAAAGTTTTTGAATATTTTTAAATTTTTGAAGTTTTTCTTGTTGATGCATGTATTATTGAAATTTGTCCAGACAAAGAAAGTCTTTTTGCTCTGTTTTAACAAATGCTTTCCTGCATTATTTTCTGGTAGATGAGGCCCGTGAACTTGATTCAACCAGTCCCTATGGTAGTTGAGCAATTATTTTTGCTCCAATTCACCAAATTTTCTTCAACACTTGGACCTTCCGCCCTAGGCAACTCCACTTTAAAAGGCTTTTCTTACTCTGGTTAAATTTTACCCTTGTTCCATGTTTATTGAGTTGATTGTTTATTTGGTTGTTTGTTGATTTATTATATTAGATGATCACCATGATGATGATGATGACGATGATGATAATGACCCAGGTTTTGGGGATGATATTTTTGGTAAGATTTGAACTTCTGTTATCTGTGGTTGCTGTATATTTAAATGAATTCACAGCTTTTCTCTTTTCAATTTTTAAAAGAGCACATCAAGAGCAAATGTAAATTAAAAAGTAATTAAACAAATTGGCTATACAGCAATAAGTTACGCAGCATAATTGACCAACAAAATAACTAAATGTTAACAACAAAGTGATTTTATTGTAGGACAAGAATTTATGGGTGCAGGAGGATTGTTTGAAGATGCCCCTTCCATGCAAGATGTTCCCATGGCACCTGGTGTGGATTCTACACCTGCACCTGGTTCAAAACCAACAGGTAAGGACCTATTTTGTCAAACCAGCTGTAAATGAGTACAGATGATCTCGCACCGCTCAATACCAAGTGTCCCATAAATGGAAAAGGATCACCTGGTAGACTGGATACCAAGTGTCCAAGAGGTGGAAAAGATCATCTGGTAGACAGGATCTTTGGAATTTTCATTATACTTGTATTTTGTTTTATTAGAAGATGAATCTATGATGTCCAAGAAGATAGATGACAGTACAGCTAGTGATGTCAATGCTTCAGCTCTACCACAAGCTTCAATCACTGGTCTCCCTGGAGAACAAACAACACTGGTCCATAATGAAGAGGAAGCTTTTGCCCTGGAACCTCTAGATGTTACAGCTGTTGCTGGTGGGTATTTCACTTCTAAAAATAGATTTCGGGCTTGAACTTTTGATAAATTGTCTTTCCAAAGCCACCTTTGATGAAGTGTATTGTGGCGTAACTCAATTGGTACTGCCAACCTGAAGTATAACTTCTAATACAGTTCTCCTGCTTTGTTTCTAAAGGTGCCTTAAATTTAAGGTTAATGTGATAACTTCCCATTTAAGGGCCTTACGTTATAGGAACTGCTGGTGTTAAAGGTCTAATGGTTTTATATTTTGAACTTCAGGTACAGAAAAGAAAGGAAAACGAAAGAGGAAGCTCATCGTTGATGAACAGAAGGGTATTCCCAGTGAAACCATGAAACTTCAACTGTCAGTCACTTCTGACATAGTCACCACCCTTGATTTGGCTCCTCCCACAAAGAAACTCATGCATTGGAAGGAAACAGGAGGTGTGGAGAAACTTTTTGCACTACCTGGCAGACCCATTATTTCTAGGGTAACCATGAAGCATTTTGGTAGAAATCTGGTCACCAAACCAGTGAAAGAAGATGCGGATGAAGAGAGATTAGATTTGGAATCCACAGAAATTGTTAGAGAAGATGACAAGCAACAACCGCCACAAAGTAAGTCAAGCTTTAGTAGTTTGGGATTTCTTGGGTTGGCAATTTATGGAATTATTTTCAAACAATGATATAGAACAAAAATTTGAAAAAAGGAAATTTTTGATTTTGGTAGCTAATGGACAAGCTGTTGCAAGGTTGTTGAAGAACCTAATTCCTTAATTAATGACATTTTTCTTTCCAGTGGATATGAGCCGTCAATCAGAAATGAGCACAATAGTAGAAGAACCATCAATAAATGAAACCTCGCGGCGTTCCAGACGCAGCGATAAAAATAAAACTTTGGAAGACCCATCCCTCATCCAGAACCAATCTTCAGTGGCAGACCAATCCACCTTACAAGATCCTTCAGCAATCCAGAACACTACTGCACCTCATGATGACATCTTTGGTCAAACCTTCAATGAAGCAGTGGTGGATCTACCCAATGATCCTATGTTGAATGATCCCAATATGGAGGATGGTCCACCCTCTATTGCTCCTTTCTCTGTGGGTCCTGCTTCAGTTGGTCCCCCTTCAGTGGGTCCTCCTTCAGTTGGTCCTCATTCTGTAGGAGCTCCTGATGCACCGGTAAGTTTTGATTCTCCTTGGGTACTAACAGTTTCTTGGAGGTTCTTTTCAAAGGCATTATTTTCAAGAACTTCTTGGTTTTGGGTTGATTTCATAACTTCATTTGTCCTGTGCCACCTCTGCCCACTGGCAATTTACAGAGAAGAGATAACAAGTGGGGTCCAAAGGGGAAAGAAACAAGATGCCACTTCTATTTCTGCGAAATTATTTCCACTTTCCTAAATGCCTACTATTGTGTTTTTTCAGACATTTGAAGATGTGATAGAAGGTGAAGTGGAAGGAGTGCTGGCTACAGAAGATGAAGATGAACAGAGATGGAGTAAAAGGACACAAGTCATGCAGAGAACATTCGATGTGGCATTTAAATACAATCAAGAACTCAGTTTTAAGGAAATGGCCAGGAAACTGGACCGAAAACAAGCTGCATCACGTTTTTACACCTTACTTGTTCTCAAAAAACATCAAGCCATCACAGTGGAACAAATGGAACCTTATGGAGACATCTTAATTGGACGTGGTCCACATTTCGGCATCACTTGTTAACTTTTTTTTAAAGAAAAACATTTCATTGTGACATTGTTGTATTTTAAAACCAAGACTTCAAAATTAGTGCTTTTAAAGGCAGCAAGTGTCATTAACGTTGAAGTGGATATTCCTTGATTCATGAGGAAAATGAGTGTCTGAATCAGATGGCAAGCCAGGGTTCATGTCCTTCTGGATCTCTCTGGGCATATTGTACAGAAAGACCAAAAGGACTACAATTCATTTCATTCTTTGGCATAGGGAATCATTCACCTTAAAATTTTGCCATTTTAAAATTATAAATCATCGCAGCTTCAATTTTAAAAATCCCAATTAGGGATGAAAATTCAAAACCAAAATATAAATAAATTATGGATATTTTTTATGGTATATTTCAGTTTTTGTTGAGAGAGAAAAAATAAACGCCATAAAAATGTTAATTTTGCGTTCACAATTGACAAAAATAATTTACGAATTTTAAATTCACTTATAAAAAAACCCAAATCATTTATTACCTAAATCACTAAGTGATTCAATTGTACATGATCATTTATTCTAGATTTATCATAATGTTTATTAGTTTTTCTGAAAATACCAAAATTATTTCCATTCTAATAGGTAGTCATTTCGATCCGGTAAAAGTACGGCTTTGGATATGCTTCACTTATTTTCTGTGGGTTGAGAAAAATACAGTCTTGAATTCTTATGGTTATATGAGCACTTTGTTTTATGCATATAGAATGTGTGAAAAAACCCTAAGAAAATACCTGAAACAAAATATCAAAAAGCGGTATTTTTAATAAGATTGTAAACATTTTGGATATTTTCCGATAAACTTTTATTTAAATGTTAACTCTTTTCATTTATTTCATAATTTTATTTGTTATACATTTTTGTGAAAATAATGTTCGTCGAAAACCCAAAAGGATTTTGGGTATTTATTTATCTTTTTCTGTCAAAAACAATGTGGGAAATACTCACTGCCAGTTATGTATGCTTAATTCCAATCAAATTAAAGTTTAGAAGAGTTTAATTTAAATATTAGGGGTGGTTTCAAATGAACATGGTTTTTAGCTTTAGGGAAAAATGATTTAACAAAGGAAGTTGATGATTGGCTGAGTTTATACCCAAGGCTGAAAACCACTCTTATCTGAACCAACCCTTTGAAGTGTTCTGTTTCTTTTATGGAGCCATTTTACAAAAGTCCTTACAATTAATTTGTTGTTGGAAATAGGGCATTTCTCATTACAAAACTCATCTCTTATAAGAATTTTGATAAAGTGTGTCATGTCTAGGTGGGAGATGAATCGAACATACCCCACTTAACTGGATGTGAAAGAAAGAATCAAACATACCATACATGTTCGTCATTTAAGAAGTAGAGATTAGATCTATGTTATTGTATTTCAGGTATTTTATTCATGAAAAATCATTCAAACCCTTGACAAATAAACACATTATTATTGGTCCTGTAGTTTTTTTCTCTTAATTGCTCCTGATCAGCGAGTTGATATACTTACATGATCCATAACATTTTGAGACATGGGCATATCTCTGAATGCTAAGCAAGTCATCCTTAATCAAAATTTATTCATTCAAAATCCTGCATAAACAAATTAATGCTGTCTTGAGTATATCTAGGAATTTAGTCTATCCCTACCAAAATGATAAATGATTATTTGAAAAATCACAATTCCAGAATCCATTATTCCACTAGATTCTCAACTCGGCATCTTTGTCAAGAAGGTCCACATAGTCCATAATTTTTGATAGATCTATTTTTTGGCCCCTAATAATTTTGCCTTTTCCGTAGCTATAGTAACAGCGTCTATGAGAGCACCACGGAATCCTGCTTTTTCTAAGGAATAAATAGCGTCTATTGTAGTGCCACCTGGTGAACAAACTTCATCCTTCAATTGTCCCGGATGCTTTCCAGTTTCCAATACCATCTTAGCTGCCCCCTGTAAAATATATGAATAATTCAGTCAAATTTTAAATTGTGACCCTCAGAAAGTATCCACAAAAAAAATGGGTATTTTACCTCGAATTTGCACTGCTCAAGATGGACGTTGACTCATCAAACCTAATTAATCTACTCACCAGTAAGGTTTGGGCAGCTAATTTTGTTGCTAAATCTCTTGGTAGACCCATTTTAACTCCACCATCAGACATGGCCTCTATTGCTACAAAAGCCTGAAAAGTGAAATATTACAATCAGTTATAATAAGCACTGGCACAAACATCAGCAGAACTTTGGATAGGAAAAATAAAGTTGTACTTACATAGGCAGGACCACTTCCACTCAAACCAGTAACAGCATCAAGATAAGTCTCTACCCCTTCTTCAACAATACCTATACTCTTTAATAGTTCTCCCACCATTTTACTGTCTGTAGGGTTGGCTGCATGCCCTGGAGTCACAACTGAAGCACCAGCTGAAACTAATGCTGGTGTGTTGGGCATTACTCTCACAACTCTTGTTCCTTTTGGCAAATTCTGAAACAGCAAAATAAATTCATTTGGGTTTGAATCATGCATCACCTTGAGATCTTGAATGAATCATCTTTTCAAATTATGCCAGTTATCCCAGCTGTAAATGGGTACAAAAAAGGACCAGGGCCAGCTGGTTGACATGATTCTGAGAACCTAAATAGTGCTTTGCATTTCTTATTTCAAGCATCATAAAGCCCCTCTTCAAGCTACATCTCATGAGTTCTCTAGTACAAGTGTTGACCTCACAAATGCAGAGTGTTAGTATGAAATCCCCTTACCTCTTCTAGGGTGTCAATGGTTATACCAGCAGCTATGGACACAAACAAGTTATCTTTGGTAACTTTGTGTGACACCTCGTTTAAAACTTTTTTAACTATATGTGGTTTGGTGGCTATGATCACCATGTTGCTATTGTTGACCACATCAGTGTTGTGTGTCGTCGTCTTGGCTCCCATGTCCTGAAACAGGATACAGAATTTAATAGATCCTCTAGTTGTTCATTAGTTCAGGAGCAGAGAAACAGGATGCAAAATTTCATAGGTTCTCTAGTTGTTCATCAACTCAATAAAGAGCACAGAAGTCAGAGTGGCCAACATTGAAAAATCTTCAGTATGGATCCTTTGAAAATAGTGCCATTAATATCTGATGCTAGTAATTTGCCCTATTGCACACTGTATGAAGTGACTCCCATACCTTCAGCATCTGTAAGCATATTGGGTTTGTGTCACTAGCTGTTATATTATTAGCTTTTACTAAACCTACAAATATAAAATATATTTCATAAGCTTATGATGTTAATGAAGTTATCTTTGGAATTATTGCAAAGTTCTACAAGACCTGCGCGTTTCCCATTGGACTAAAGCTTCTTTAACTGTGTGATTGGTTGCCTAAACATATCATATGCATCCATCACCAACTCCCCCAGCCACTGTCTTTTGGACCCTTGGGGTCAATTACCTTTCGTTGTGCAGATAACATGAATAACAATGATAATTTTGTCTACAGTGATTTACATTATGTTACGTGTTTACTTTCCATTTTTATTAGGCCATGAAACCCAATGCTGTGATAGATTAAGCTAATCAATACAATATTCTGTTTGTTTGTTTACAAAAAAATGAGGTTAAATGAGGTCACTAATAGTTCAATCTGGGGTCAATTTCTAATAGTAAACAGCTGATTTCATTTGTAAAACTGGTAATACTCAGGTTATTTATTTGGTTGTGTTTGCCAGTCATGTCTGAGTAGTGCTCCAAAATGTCTATGACATCAATGGACATATCCTTATTGCTATTCCAGAGTCAAAATCATGGAGGTAACTTTGAAGCACCTGATGACACTCTGGTATTAAAAAAATGAATTTAGAAATAGGCAGGTATCTTTAAAGATTATTTATGGACCTAAAGTCAATATCCTTGTGGTCAAATAGATAAAGACAGACTTTCATCGTTGAGACAAGATAAGCTATATATCTTTATTGCTTACAAAACACACAGAATAGTACAAAGTCCAAAAACATAATTGAATAAAGGGTTAGGTAATTAGAATTAGTGCTGTAACAACAAGGCAAGGTCTACTCCTCCTTTCAGAACCCTTGATGAATCTCAGCAATTAAGTTTATCAACTTGGCATCCCTTCAAGAGTACATGGGTGCTGAATATGCCTTCTTTAAATGCACCCTGTTACTTCAAATTTCATCAGCCAAATGTGTTAATAAATTCTTGGAGTTTTTTTTCAAATGAAAACAGATTGCATCATAAAAAAATTCTGTTTATTTTGCCTGGTGTGCACTTCTTAACCTCTTTTTCTGTCATGTCAACATGGCACATTGACAATTTAGTCGTGAGATACTTGTGCTAGACTTGGTGAAATTGTTTTCCACATTCTTTGAGTAAATTTATTCTAAAAATGGCAAAGAATAAAATGATAAACCAAGATGGCAATCTTAAATTTAAATTGAAACTTTTCCTAGATAAATTTTAAAAATGGTATGAGTTTTATTGCTTCACTGAGATCCTTGGGTTTGGATCAAAACAGTAACAAAAGGACATTTGATAAAGTCATTATCGAGGATCTTCAAAATCATTTTCTTTGATCTTACGAAGATCAAAGTCCCCAAAAAAGAGATGAAAAATTTCATCAGCCACATGGCAATGTTGATATAATTATGCAAATTATTGATTGACATGTCAAACGAGTTGCGCCCCTTGAACTACTCACCCGAAGTGATGAAACCTTTAGCCAAAGCTTGGGCCATTCGGCCGGCCCCGATAAATCCGACCATTATGTCTTCTGGCAAGACGGTTGAATGCGGGCTCGATTTGGGGACAGACATACTTGAAAATGAAATTGATTATTGCGGAATTTGGTGTAAAGTTCACAATACTGTAGTAGTTGACATGCAGCTCACGAGTGATCGATCGACGCTCATGCGCTGAATTCTGTTATTTGATTGGTCTAGGGAGAAAATAAGCTCCACCCATTTGATATTATCTCCGCCTATTTTCATTCATATGGGAATTTTTTTTACGCCTGAATTTCGTTGACGCATTTACGCCAAAATTCGTGCGTAGTAAACAATATTGATTTAATCAAATTACTTAATATGTCGGAATTAGCTGTCAAATTTCTTCACCCACACAATTATTTATTCTATTAAAGATTTTCAGCAAAGTATATATTAAATTTCTATTATTTCAATCATAGATAACCTATTTAATTGTTATCTTAACTTTAAAAGGTTTTTTTGTCGATTTTGATTGATCTTTTGTTGGAAATCCTGTGTTTCATTTTCGTTTCGGATGTGTTGATATTTTGTTAACTCAGAGTGAAATTTCGTTTCCTTGAAAAGCCGAATCATGAATATATACGGTCACGTGATTTTTTATCAACTTCCGGTTTGAAGATGAATATTTTGTTTATTTATTATAAATGAAGTTTTTGGAAGATATTTGGTAATTCTTCACTTGTTTCGACTTAAATCAAACAGGACATTTGTTGTGGACAATTTAAATGTAGGTTTGATAATTTGTTTTCTCAACCTAAGTCTGAAATATACGAGATACACCCTAAAATGGTTGACCCATTTATGACCCAAGAGTGGGGTGGGGTAGTAAAAGGGCATGTAGTAGTGGTGTCCCCCCTTTTCAGTTTCCACCCCAGCAGTGATATTCATATCCAAAAACTTCCCTCATTCCATACTACACACAGTGCTTGGTCTTGCTTATAATAATTCATATCCCTGACAAAATCCTTCATTATCATGGCTTCTCTTCATTTTTTTATTACAGAATGTCCAGAATGAATGTACAATATGATCGTCAAATTAACGAAGAGGAGATCGAAGAGGATCCGTATTATTTCACCTATAACAGAGAGTTGACCACCAGACCTCATGCTTTACCAACTTCTATTGGTATATTTCAAATCATCAGTGGCTTCATCTCAGCTATATTAGGTATGTATGCTTGTAATAGCTTGCAGTGCCATACCAGAGATGAAGGGTATGCAGTGCTAGACCAGAGATGAAGGTCATGCAGTGGTTTTTGAAAGGTATTCCTTTCCTTATATTCACTCTTTGGAATTTCAGGTACATTTGAAGTGTTTATTGTACCAATGGCTGAAGCCTCAAGTGACGAACGAGTTCTTGAATTATCAAAACAAAATTGTTATGGTGCTGGATTATGGGGTGGACTCTTGGTAAGAATTTAAAATCATATTCTATGACGCGATGCAATTTCACTTTGATGATTTCAAGCTCTGTGAAAACCTATGTACCGTACTTATTCAGTACACTTTCATAGGACATGGATTACAACCCTTCAATTCCAACACTCTAATTTGTCCGAGCTTCAATCTGTCCACATTTGTATTTAATATGATGTTTTTTTTCTGTATTTTAGATGATATTAACAGGAAGTACAGCTATTAGAGCCAGTATCAGTAAGCGAAACACAACTGTAAGTTCTTTGGAGTTTGTTATATATTTTATTTATGTTCTCAGCGCTTGTTAAACCGACAGCTATTTTTATTTCATTATTTATTTATATTTTACAGGTAGCCAGATTTTACAATTTAACCATAGTCACATTTTTCCTGTACATGTGTGTAACAGTATTTTTAATGGTAGCTTATGGACAGGGCTGGACAACCAAAGACAAATATCCTGTAAGTCATTTATGTTATTAAGTTAGTTTGTCAACCCCCCACCCTTTTGGAAAGTTCCATACAGCTAATATTGTTTTAGTTAACAATCAATAGGCCTATGATTCCTTGAGAAGGAGATAATTCAGAGGCCATTCTTCATCTTATTATCTTTGGGAATTTTAGTTCTATTCAAATATATACCAGTGTGACTTATGATTGCATTCCTTAAACATCTTATAACACTATGCGACCCAGTTTCTCATATTGATTCCTAAAGAGAGTTCTCAAGACCTGATAACAGCCGCTTGGCGACCTGGTTTACCAACCTTGCATTTCTTTCAATTAACTGAGATATAAATCTACCAAATTTTTGTTTTTCCAGCCTGGTAGCAACATGCATATGGTACATTTATTTGTTACAGTGAATTCCTTGTTAGGACTTTTATTTGCCTTAACAGCTCTGGTGAAATATTTTAACATTGTGTTTAGTGATAGTGTGGATTTGTTGAGGAGGTGGAGAAACTGGTTCCTCTGTTGTTTCCCAAGACAAAGTCAGACTCAGCCGAGACAGGAACCAAACTTACTCATGTAGTAGGTCTGTCAGCTTGGTGCCAATTTTGGTAAGAAACATTGTTACTTTGTCATCGTAAGCATACAACACTAAACCTGATTGGTTGATTTTAAAGACTTGATATATTAACCAATCAGAAGGTAATTATATGCGAAAAATCAAAAGTTACAAACATTCTGAACCAATTAAAATCAATGAAATGTTTGAGATTAGGGCCCTGAAATGTAGATGATTCACTTCATGTTGTTCTTAAACATCTAGAAGTGTGTTTTAATTACATTGTTTGAGTGCCTTATTTTATTTTTTAAAATCAACTTGGCAGTCTGCACTTGGGCATTACAGTGTGTTTTTTTAACAACACCTAAATGCAAAATTAAATGATAATTCCAATTTCCTTTTATAGTGGTTTTGTATATATTTTGCTGATGTTTGACTTTGTTACTGAAAGAATTTGTGAGTGTTTAATGCCGAGATCGAGAATGCATTGTGGGTAAATGAGCAATTGATTTTGGCCTTGTGTTCGGTATCTTTTAATGATGGGTTTCGTCAAATTAATGGATAACTTCTGGCAAGATGAAACATTTTCTAAAACTGTTTTATGAATGCAGGGCTGAAGAATGACTTGATTTGAAATACATATCGATATATACCAGAAAGTAATGAAAATCCTAGGTTAATCATTGAATTTTAAGTAGAGCCAAGATCATTATACACATCTAGGAAAGAAGGACTGTTCTTGTTTGTGGAGCTTTCCTGGACGTGCATAAAAATGTTGTCGTTTGTTTATTTTATTTATTTTTTATACTCTGGAGTTGTTTTGTTATGGAATCATGTCAATAAAAATTGTAAATATTTTGAAATTGGGTAACACTGTTTTTGTTCTTTGACTAAAATATCCATTGTCTTGGACAATCATTTTTATTGTTAAGATTGCTCTGTGTAAATTTGTTGCATCCCGCATTGATTGGTAGGTTGGCCTTTGACAACTTTACATTTGATTTGGAAAAAAACATTTAGATACAATTATATTTTATTTAAAAAATTCAGATTATAAAAATAATGGCTATATAACAATGAAAGAGGAATTTTGATTTTAAAGATGGATACCTCATCTTGAAACAGGCTTGGTATGATCCATATATGTCATCTAAAATTTGGTATTTTAAAAGATGGGTCCCATATACGTCCTCTCAAGATTTTTTTAATAAACGTTCCAATACATCTTTAAAATGGAATGTGCACATTTTTGGATACTATTCATCAAAATTTGAATAAATCTTTTAATTAATTTGCAATTTTGATGGGAAAATTATTCAATAAAAGAAGGAAATTAGTTGAAAATGATTTAGAACTATGAATTATTCTACTTAAATATTAACAATTCATTGAAAATAAAAATGAATTAATGAATAAAGGAAAGCTATGAGGATATTAACAAAAATGATTTGCGTTACTATCAATATAATGAAATCTATTTAAAAGAATCTTTTTAAAACTGAGCGACAGGGGTTTAGAATTGGTGGTAAGCCATCAATATATTTCACAAGGCAAGATTGTTTTGGATGGCGCAGCCCTGTGCTTTCAAGAGTTGGACATTTGTTGAGTTGCCCCTCATGTCTAAAATTTCAAATAAAATTTCACAAATTCAGCTAGTAATTCTCTGAAGAATTGGCATCAATATTTTATGAGAAATAAGTTTGGTGTTGATGAAAAATTAGTAATTTCTGGCAGGTCTGTTATATTCTGTGTCATAAGGGTCATTTCTCTTTCCAACAATTTGTGATGAAGACCATAACATAAAGGCTGCTCCTGCAACAAAGAGGAAGGACACGCTAGCGAATCCGTAGGACCAAGATAGATAATTCATGTCCGGTCTCGGAACCCAATCTCTGTCTTCCTTCATTACTCCAAATAATATTAATTCCGCAAATAAAACCAAACCTGAAAAAATAAAACCAAAAATTTGAATTGGTAAGGATTAAATCAATGCTTTTTTTTATAGAACATGATGACATTCTATTACTTGGTTTGTCAACTTGTCACTACAGTTTATATACCGCATGGTATGAAACTCTTGAGTAACACCATGATTTGGCTCTGATTTCTAGTTATATTTAAATGTAGACAAAACAGGTTTTGATTCTCAATGCCTATTGTGACACTTCAATATTACTACTTCTGAAAAGTAATATGTGTTGCTGAAATTCAGCTCTATCTGCTGGGGAAGTAAATCTTTGGTGAGAGTATATCTATAATACTTACATGCTATTAAGCTTCCAATACTGCTTACTAAAAGTATCATAGATTTCATATGTGAAGGAAAAAGACGGAAGAGATATAAAATCATGGCTATGGCAACCAGGCCTTGTAGTAGGAGTGAAAAACTAACTGCTACTTGACACACAATAAACCATGCTGAAAAAAAGGACAATTTTTTATTGAAAGCTAGTCATAAAAGGTCCACATGTGGATCAGAAAAGGAGAAGGGGGGGGGATAAAGAGGAACTTTTCTTATATTTTCCAATCAACCTGGGGAAGCCATCAATAAGATGGCTTTGAGAAGTCAAGAGCAAGAGGGAAAACCATTTCATGTCCTGATATTTATCAATATTGATCTAGATATCTATATTGATAGTCATAAATTATATAATGCTCAATGAGTAATGCATATAGGCGGCCATCTTCAAATCATACTATACGACGCCATATTTAACAATTGTTCAGGTATATTGCAATTACAGGTGTGGACTTGGATTTACCTGGGCAAATATATTAAATTCAATACTTACGTGGCGAAATCCATTCCCAAATAGGTCTTATTTCTGGTCCGAATATATACCAACAGCCCAAAAATCGTTTTCCGCTGTAATCTTTATAAAATGTATAATCATTGAAGCAAACTTCCCAAAGACCAACTTTGACAAATCTGCCATGAAATTGTTCAAAAGATTCCACCCAATACGGACTGGCGAAAGCGATCAGCAAACACATAAACGATAAACATAATAAAATGCATCCGATGACGGACTTTTGCTCTGGTTTCTTTTCTTCCTCCATTTTATATTAATGTCTACCTTTCCTCCATAACAAAATCTAATTAGGTCAGCTTTGAAATATGCCGCCTGGTTAATCAAGACGGATGTCTATTGTCATTTTATTCTGTTGACAGAGACTGGATATTCGGGGATATTATTGTATTTAATAGTCGTATATCCAGCCCGGACGAACAAGAAAGCTTTATTGTCTTTATGCGCAGTTGACAGAGACTGGTTAATCAAATCTGAAACACCTTTCAGGTGAGTCAGGTATACGTTTGATTTGTCATTTGGAGACTAAGAGCTCTGTATGGTTAGTCTCCCCTTGATAAGTTTTAAAATATATAAATTGGTATAAATTTTTCCTCTAAAAAAAAAAACGAACTTTGCGCAATAAAAATCAATGTTAATGTGAAAAATGAATTCATTTTCGACATTATTATCTAATATTTGGTGATGACAAAAAACGTAAGGATACACAGGGACACAGGCATAGGGGTGTGCCTTTTTGTCGGGCAGGACCCCCAACCACTGAGATTGCGGGCAAAAGATTTAGAGCGAAACGGTATTGTTTTGGAGTGCATATTATCTAAGATTTCGGTCAAATATTCTCTGTCGCTTCACGTTATTAATCACAAGGAGAAAATCTCTTACCCCTCCTCCTCTTTACCCAAGTTTGGAGTTTACAAATAAGAAGGCAATTAACGAAGGAGAGGGATATTAAAGTATAACATTAAATAATATGCTTGATTACATTCTAAAAGTTTTCTGTGTCGGAGGTGTATAAGCGCGTGCATCATTTTAACTTTTTTAATCTTCAAAATTGAAAACCCTTCCTCTTTATCATGGCGGGAAAAGGCACTGGGATAAAATTGATCGACACTTCAAAAAGTATCACATAAAACATAAGAAAATGAACATTTTATTACTTTGAAAAGAAGATGCTAAAGAATGCATCTCGAAGATTGGTTCCGAGACAAAAAATGACCCTTTTACTCAAGAAATTGGTGAGTTTTATTGCTTTATGAACGGAGTGTTCTCGAAATTCTCGGTGTGTATTTTCTAAAAATTCTCGATGTGTATTTTCTCATATTTGGTGTATCAGACTGAATATTTTACTCAATATATATTTTTTCATCATTGTGGCGCCAATTTCTAAAAATATTGGTAAAATTTTGAAGATTTGCCACGTTGTTTGAAATAAAGAATTAATTGTGTTCTGAATTTTTTTATTACCATTGGATTCAATGGGATTATCTGCCCCTGTTTCCCATGAAAACGATAGCGCTATGGCAGATGCGCTATTTCGCGTGTTTGTATAGTTCATTAGCGTTAATCCAATTAATTTCGATTGTTAAATTAATTATTAAGCCGTTGTCAACGCAACCGACCATGGTTTGGAGAATAACAAATGCTTTTCTCAATAAAATTGAAATTTTCATTCATGTCATTGAATTTAGAGTTTGATAAGTCGCTTGATTATTTTTTGGAGTTCTTAATTTCTTCAAACTTCAAAGAGGCCATTGCTGAATTAGGAAAAGTATCGAAGGTGAGGCTATTTTATTTAATTCAAATTTATTGAAAAGAAAAGAAAGAAAAATATTTTAGATATGACCTCAGAGCCAGAAAAGCTTAAATCCCTCTGATCAGTAAAATCCGTCATTTTGTTTTGGGTTATTTAGGCTAGTGAAAAGGGACATGTTCACCCCTCCACCTTATGGCACTCTGTGATTGGGTTTGTCCACATAGCATCACATTATGAGAGTCCACATAGATCATAATTGTTTTTAGTTTTTCTTATTGTTTTTATTATTCTATTAGATGTCCACTACTGTAACAATTGGTACACAGGATAATGCAGACTCTGCCACCTTAATGGACAAATGGAAGAAATGCTACAGATCTAAACCTAAGGGCAATAAAACCAAGTTGTTTTCAAGACTGTTGGTGCTGTTCTTGATAGCAACGACTCTTTACACAGAGCTGCGATATACCATTGCTTATACGTACAGCCATTATGACCCTTGGACCATATACTATATCAAAGTTCTGGCGGTATATTGCATTGTTATGTTTTCTGCTTATTGGTTGTCGTGTATGTTATATGGGACCGCTGTGGAAAACAGTAAGTGTTAGATCTTACAGGGATATATGGTTGTCTAAATATTGACTCTTAACCAGCTGATAGAGTCAAAACGCTTAGGCCTATAGTTGTCAGGGGCGTTTGTAGGAAATATCAGGTGAGCGGGCCGAGCAGGGGCCACATAATCCTCCCAACAGGCCACAGGCCATTCATTCCCTATGTAATCAACTAGAGGGGTGTCTTACCAGCTGATAGATCTTAAAGGGAAATACCTCTCTAAACATTTGACATCTGTCGATAGAGCTTAAGTTAAGAACTTATGAATTGATTAAATGATTTAACAATGTATATTTTAAATTGTAGGTAGAGATCAAGAGATACCCAGTTATTACAAAACGAAGACATTACCATTGTATCACAAACCATCACAACTACCTGGGACAGTCACATCACGATCGGCAGAGAACGCAGATGTTCAACAACGTCACGATAATCACGATAACGATGTCTTCCAGTGGAGTCACTGCCAGAAATGTGACTTAAGAACACCCCCTCGAGCTCATCATTGCAATGTTTGTGATAAATGCATCTTAAAAAGAGACCATCATTGTTATTTTCTGGGCGTTTGTATTGGCTTTAAAAATCAACGCTATTTTGTGATCATGACCTTTTATGGAGCAGTCGTTTCTTTTTGGGGTTTATATCTGTCTTTGGTGTATTTTTCTAACAATATTTGGCCATTCGTATCTCTGTCAGATGTTTTTCTACCGGTGACTTTTTATCGAACAATTTTTGGCGATTTTTCGTTCAACCATTTCTTAATAGTGTACCATATGTATTGTTTCGCTTGTTTTGGTCCCGTGGCTACTTTTTACTTTTCCAGTCAATTTACAATCATTTCCAAAGGCGTGACCTTGTACGAACTTGCCAAAAATGTTCCGGTGCGGAATACCAATTCCATAGACAAAAATTTCCGTTCTGTTTTCGGTGATTTTTGGTACGTGAATTTTGTGTTTCCTGGTCAAATTCTGTTCCATCAAACTGAAGATGGATATTTTTGGGACGGAATTAAAGTTTTGAATTCACATGAAAAATCCATGAAATAAATCAGTATAAGTTATTTATTTATTCCTTGATATAATTTATAATTTATATGCAGTTAGTTATATGTTATATTTTATTATTTTTTATATAAAAATAAACTGTTTATTATCATTATATTTACATTGAGAATTGATATGAGATTTTTATTTTGAATAAATCCCATTCCTACATTCTGTTACATAAAAAAGTAATTTTCCTCATTGCACACTTTATGGTATTGGTTAATTTCATTTCTTTACACGCAGAATCAAGCCAAATCAAATCGTATTATAAGAGCAAATTTTTAGGAGTCATTTGTAGTCTGATTATTAAAAATTTGACTTGAATCGAGTTGTCTCCCTTCAACCATATACTCTATTGAATTCAGATTTCCCAATGGCCCTGTTTCCATTGACAATAAAATAAATAAATAAATAAAGACATGCTTGGAATAACCAAACTTGTTGATGATTATTAGACATGTCTCTTCGCGAATTTTTGCCTTTGGTGATGCTGTAAAGGTGAGGCAGTGCTGGATCTGCACAAGATAACAGTCTGTAATTGAGGAATTGGAGAAGTATCCCTTAAGGTATTTGCTATCTTTTAAGTTTTACTCTTATACGTAGACTCCAACATCAGGGATGCAAAATCGAAAGACTCAGATGTTCCAGAAGGATGACCATGTCTTGTCTCCGATATGTTTTTGGGGACATCTTTTAAAGTACTATGTAATTTTGTAATGAAACTTGGGAACTTGGTGAAGCCTAGAAAGTTCCTCTAAGCTCTGCATCAGATTCAGCTTTACAGAAACTACTGAAGATTGCCAAATGAGCTTAAAGCTGCTAGGTTCATTAATATCCTTTTTTTATGCCATTACCAAAAACATGTTAATGAATGTGATTTTCTATTGCAGATTCCAAAATGCCCAACTCGACAGCAATAACAATTGGATTACCATATGAAAAAAACTACCAGTCCAAAACACTGGCGGAAAAATGGAGTGATCACTTCCATAAAAAATCCCAGAGCTCAAAAACAAAGCTGTTTGCTCGAGCTCTGTTCATTTTCCAGGCTGTTTCACAGTATTATATGACTTTGAAGTACATCATTCCCTATGTGTTCGGTGATTACGACCCTTGGACTATTTACTATTTCAAAGTACTGTCAAGTTATTTGGCCATTGTATCCGTGGCAAATTGGTTGTGTGTGATTTTGTACGACACCAAGGTGTGGAAAAGTAAGTTGTACTATATTTTTGAAAGGTAATCGATAACTAGCTTTTCTGCTTGTTATCTCTACAAAATTGTCATTTTTGAAACTATTCTGATGTAAGGATTTGATTGCATAAAAGTAATCGTGTTCGTCCATTCTCTTAAAGAATTTTCTTTTTGTTGTAGGTAAAGACAGACCATTTCCAATTTTTCATGGTATAAGAAGTATAGTCATAGACAGCCATCTACAGAATGGTCACAGAAACTTTCAGAATGAACAAAATGGACATTGTTTGCTGGATGAAAGCAATCATTTACAATCCCAGTTCTGCATGAAATGCAATTTACAAGTGCCCCCTCGTGCACATCACTGCAATATTTGTCAAAGTTGTATCTTAAAGCGCCACCATCATTGCTATTTGGTGGGAAAATGTATCGGTTTTAAAAACCAAAGATATTTCATCGTACTGGCGTTCTATTCGGTGATCGTGAGTTTTTGGGGTCTGTACCTTACTGTGGTATATTTGAGGGACAAGTGGTGGCATACTGCAACTTGGTCAGATGCCATCTTGCCTATGACTATTTTAAGATGTCTCTTCGGAAACATTACAGCTCATGTCACAATTCTAGTGTTTCATTGCTATATGTGGGCCATGTTTGGTCCCATAGCAATGGTATACTTCATAAGCCAAATACTCCTCATTTTCAAAGGACTGACACTTTATGAACTGGCTAAAAACGTGCCAGTGAGAAATACAGCATCAGTGTCCAAAAATTTCCAGTCAGTTTTCGGAGATTTTTGGGCATTAAATTTCATCATTCCTGCACAAATTCTTTTCCGTCAAAAAGAAGATGGATGTTCATGGAACAGTGTAAAAATTATTCAAAACCCCCCAAAAGATGTTCATCACCATTGTCAAATATTATAGCGTAGTTGTATTCCCAACTTGGGAGAGAAGTACAATTATCTACAATTTTGGTGGGCAAGGGAGAACACTGTGTGTCTTTATTTAGAAAATGGGTACAAAGAGTCAGAACCTTTGGTACCCAGGGGCTATATAGAAGGGTTGAAAAACAACGAAGTGTCTTAGTGAAATAAAGAAACTTCTAGAATATTGAGTGATTTATCTGTTTGAATGAAAAATAAATTTCCGATTTGATAAGCATTAAAATAGAATCTTAGATAACTGACATACTTTTTTTTTATCTGTCGGTTTTCCTGATAAAAAAAATCGAACAAATCGTTGTGAAAAGTTATATGATCTAGAATGAAACCCAATCGCAAAGTATATACAGGTGCTCGGTAAGTGTAAAGTTAGAGATAGCTTCAGTGTGAGCTCCCTTAACTGGATTCTGATCAAAGCCCCAATCGCAAAGTAACTGTTGGTGGTCTGGAAAGTTAACAGTTATAGAGTTCATCAAATACAAACCATGTTACTATTATGATTTATTTAACATTATCATCAATTAACAAGAAAATATATAATATCATATAAAAACATCTTCAAATACACAACCTCAAATACAAATTACTCTTGTAGCTCAAATACAAATTACTCTTTTAGCTCAAATACAAATTACTCTTTTAGCTCAAATACAAATTACTCTTGTAACCCTATACAAATTACTCTTGTAACCCTAATATAAATTACCACATAACTCATACTTTTGCATTCTATATATTACTCTTATTTTTGTATTCTGAATATTACTCTAATACATATTACTTACACATACTTTTGCATTCTATATATTACTCTTACTTTTGTATTCTGAATAACTTTCAAAATTAAGCAATTACTCTTGTGTATTACTAAATGCCTCTCAATTACAAAAGCAATTACTTACATGAGTTCAAAGGCATTGTTTCTAGTAAAGGTGAAGATTTATAGCATGATATATACCCAATGATTATTTACAAACTAAAAGAGTTATTATTAGTCAAAATGGTGGAGAAATGTAAAATTACAAGAAACAATACCTTTAAATTTATCCTGTGGCAAAAGATGACTTGGTCCTGAGAGAAACTTAGTAGACATGCAGACAAAAAAAATAGCACTTCTTTGATTTTATTAGTAATCTTTTCAACCTGATAAAAATGTACCCGATAAATCTACCCTACCCATGAGATATAAGGATAGGATATCACTTCTGAGGAACGAGTAGAGACAGATTTGTCGGGTAAATTAAAATTATTATTTAGATGTTGGCATCTATGTTATCAGATCACAATGTTTGGTCCTTAAAAGTGGAAAACCCTAGTAATAAAGTTATATTTCGGTTATAATATATTTATCTTAGAGAAAATGCTTTAATTTTAACAAAAGAAACTTGATATTTCAGCTCAATTTCAGCTCAATTTCAGCTATTTCTTTATTTTAGCAATTACTATTCTTTTTTTTTCCAAAAGCTGAAATTGAGCTTTTAACAAAATACCTAATATGCAAAAATTCAACAAATTTGTATATTACTACATGAAAAATGACACATGAAACTTTTTACAAAATGAGAAATGCCCTTAAACTGAAAAACAAAAGAAAAATCACATCACATGAAAAATATAATACTTTTGAACACACATTCACTCAAAGTTTCAGTTAAGGCAGAGAATTAAACCAAATTTGCCAAAATATGTCAAGAATGTGTTGGCCAGTTATGTCAGTCAATTAATTTTGGCATATTTGGTGTAATATAGAAATGAAATATCAATAATGAAAAAAAGACCACCAAATATGCCAAAATATATCAGTAATGTGCAGGCCAAATACATTGATTAAATGAATTTTGGCATATTTTTAAATAAAGATAACCAAATTAAAGGAATGTGAACCTTCAAGTTCAATTTGAAAATTTTGATTCCAAAATGCAGTTTTGGAGCTCTAAAAATATTAAGCATTGGACAAAAGTGTCCTAAAGAGAAAAAATGCAACCAGTCAATTGTGAACTCACATCTGACATGACCGGCAAGTACAGCTGAAATGTCATGGTTCATGAAATATATGAGATCAAATTTTAAACCCATAAACGATCAAGAAAATGGTTTCTTAACATAAGTTGTTTATCTGCCTTTCGTGGGATTTGAACCCATAGCACCCAATTGCATAGAGCATCAGGTGATGGCAGAGACAGATCCAAGAGAATATCAGCTTGATGGATCAAAGGTTTGGTGTCAAAGACTCATGCTACCAGACCCTTTACACAGACAAAATGATCTTTATGTTTGTATGAGTTGAAATACTTCCAATTCATATACTTATACTCAGGTTGGTTGGTATGTCAATCTGTATGAGTTGTGCAGCCAATCCTTCCCATACCAATCTGCATGAAATTGCTTGATCTACCAAGGATAGGCATCTCAAAGACTAAATGCATTAAAATTTAAACTTAATCAGTACATATTAATTAAGGTTCATCTCTGTGAATTGGCAGCTAGTCAAAAACCAGTGCACTGGATAATCCTTGATCTGTCTCCGCTAAATGACTGGATGATGGTGTCTAAGGTGAGGGCGAATTGGCCGGACTTTCTAATATCATGTTGATTCCATTTAACATGGCATTATGAGCACATTTTGGGTCTTTTAATGGTTTGGAGAACATGGTCATTGAGCTCAATGCTGTGGACGCCTGAAAAGAGACAAAAAGAAAACCATTAAGTTATGGGCAAGGAAGGTTAAAGGGACACATCATTTTGTTCAACATTCATCCATAAAAATAACATATCAAAGATAAAAGATGATTGTCAATCTTGTTCATAGCAAACTAAAGCCAATTAGTGTATAATATAACCAACTACCTCTCCTTATTATTTTATATAATTTCAGATCAAAACATGAAAAATACCCAACAGTTCTAGACCACTTATTCCAATGTCTAAATGAATCATTTGTTCAATCCTACGCCTGTACATGTAGGAGAATCAAGTATATACTTGTCAAGCTTGATGCAATGCAACATATAAAAAGTCGGATATAAAAAGAAGCCTTGACAGTAGACCAAAGGAAGTCGGTGAATAACCTGTGATAAACCTCTATATAACTGTTATAAACAATCTCTATATAACCAGTAATATTAGAAGCCTTCTCTAGAGTTATAATGTTGACTCTAGGTTAGAACAGTCAATATTATTGAGAACCTGGTGGGACACAACATCTGTTAGCCTCCAATGTTTTTTATATCGGCTGTTTTTAATGCTCCAAGGTCAAACCATTTTCTAACCATTGATTTAAGCTTCTAAAAAAATGGGTGCTCCTTCATATGAAACAATAGACCACTAAATATCAATAACATATGAAGTTAAAATTCGCATTCTCAAGTTTTGAAAAAGTGAAAGGCCATATTCCATGTTGCAATTGTAGAATAAGCCATATAGTTTTCAGTCAAGGGTACTTCATAATTGAGTACCATTAAACATAGATAACCTAGCCATTATATAAATAAACAATAAATCAACTAGCAATATATCACTAAAGCAAGGTTACCACCTGTCACTGTACAAAAACAATACCCCAGGGTCAAAGGTCAATACCACACCACAAAGGTCAAGGCTACTGAAATCAAGTTCGTTCACATGGCTGATAAGGTTATTGTTTTTGATACCTATTATTTCACGTGATATGTTCATCACGTGATGTCTAGTACATCATGGGCCTCCAACCGGTTGGTTTAACAGTACCCATTTTCAAATTCTATATCCTCTAGCTCTAGAAAGAGTGGCGTGAGGAAGATTGCAATAATAAGACTGGAAAATCAAATTATTGCAAATCATTTGAAAAAGAAAGTCCAAAGAATAAATAAAAAGAATATCCCAAAGATTAATATTGTGGCCACACACTTTAAAGCCCTATCAGACTTAGCTGGTGAATACATCCAGACAACAACCCTAGCATGCTTGTACATCTCCAGCATGTTTATTTGCTCTACCTGGGTCAGATTCAGTTCAAGGACCCCTTCCCTACTGTGTTTTCCAATAATCGACTTGTAGAGTCAATAAAGTTCCTCCTGTTTCTTCTTGCTGTACTACATTAACCAGCTAGTTCTTTTGTCTCACTTCAATTGAGGATCTGAAACATTTCCTAGCTTGAGGCCTAATTGGAATGAAGTTCATGAATGTTTTTTATTGTTTTGGTTTCAGATTATGTAGGTCCACTTAGACTGAGAACTAAAACAATTGGGAAGGTCATGTTTTTGCATCAAAATTGTGTTGAGGGTATTAACTTTAAAGACCATTGTTCCACAAGATACAATTTGTCTGAAATGTTTCCAGAGCCTAATGGACCTATTGTTCTTGTTTAAATACCTTATGTTCTTCTCGAAATACTTATTGTTCATGTCTAAAGACCTATTGTTAAAGTCTACTGTATTCAGTGTTACAATATTGCTAATGATATTGAAAATGGTTTAACAATCGATATATATTACTTCATTGTGAATGTAACCAGGACACTGTCCTCGCTCAAAGCCTTGATAGAGAAGTCTTATAATTAGATTAGTACAGATTGGCATTAGAAAATATAGGTTATAAGCCAAAATGGGCGATTTCTATAACAAAAGAGATATACCTAGAGGCGAAATGAAATGAAATAGAAGCTGTCTGATCCTAATTGGGCTAATAAAAATGTGGAACACGATAATGAAATTCTGCCATTACAGTAATATAAACTTCATTCTGCGTTTATTATTACTTATTGCCCAAGGATTTTGTCCTTGATACAAGTATCCTTTTACAACCACTCTTGGTCATGTCTGTTTTGCTTTCTAGAAATAAAATGTCAGTTTTGGTTAAATAATCAGGTTGAAAAGTTTACAAATATTTACTAGAAATAAATATGTCATTATAAATCACAACATAAATTATGATCATTGTTATCATCTACTTAATGTATTATATAAAACCAAACATGCTTTTACATGTGAAACATGGGCTGCAATTTGAAACCTGGTCCACAATGTGAATCACAGTCCGCAATTTGAATCACAGTCCGCAATGTGAATCAGTCCGCATTGTGAAAAACGGCCCGCAATGTGAATCACAGTCCTCAATGTGAAACATTAAAAACTTTGAAGATTGTAATATATAAAAACATCATTATCCATCATTTTTTGTGTCGCACTTAATCACACAGATAATCAATGTATTGGGAAATAAGATAAGAAACTGATTATTTTTTCCTTTTTTCACGTTCTGAAGTGAATCAATATTTAGGATGGCCTTACTTATTAACTTATGAATATGAGTATTAAACCTTATTCAGCAGAATTGAAAGAAAATATTAAAAAATTGGCTGAAGATTTTATAATCTTTTTGTTGAGGAAGTATTTAAAATAATGTCAATAATTTTTTCCCCTTCATATATGAATAAAGCTTAAATCATAATAGCCTTAGATTTTCTTCGATATTTCTTCCTCAATTAAAAATTGATTGAAGTTGCACTTGATGTATATAGATTTTATAAATCTTTAGAAATTCAGGGAGGGAGTTTTTGAAACATCAATTAATATTGATATTTTGTTTCCATTTGGTTTGTGAAGAAAGTATTAAGTTTAGATATATATTTTTTCTCCACTTTTAATAACCATATTCAGATTTTAATTTTTTTTATTTTTCCCTTTCATAAGTGAATAAAGTATTTAGTTTGGTCTTATTTTTTTATCGTAACTTTCAAGTATAATATAAAATTATGAAGCATGAAGCAAATTGTACATTATGTATTTAAGTTATATACGCATTTATAGTGATGTAGCTAGTAATCATTTACAATAATACATAGTTGTCATAGCAATTCAACACAATATAAGTAGCAATATACGCCCCAATTGATTCAAATTCTTCTCATATCAACGCACTTGACAAACAATTTCAATGGATGCATTAGACAAGGACAATATTTGTCATGAAACTTGTTAAGATTTGAATAAGAGTATGAAATGACAGTATTTCATACTACCTACACAATATTAAATATCATAATCCGATTTAAAAATTGCTCAGACGTTTTCTTTTGTCAGAATGTCTCGTAAACAATTTTTACATCATAAATATGACCTTGAGTAAATCAAAGTGACATTTGTCACTGCATGGGCATATCAACTTTATTACTACTCTAATTCTTAAAGTTTATAGATATTGCCCCAAGTAAATATTTAAATACATGAAGTTAGAAAATCTTAAAGCTAAACATATTTTAAAAAATTGAGGAAGATCTTGAGGTCTGATATTTTGGAAGACATGTTTTAGAAAATCACAGTAAAAAAATCGTAATTTTTATAGTTAATAGTTAGTTAGTAGTTAGTAATTTGCTCCAAGATCATTTACGAATATGTCATACATGAGTCTAATTTTGAAAATCCTATTCTGATTCTAAAGAATAGAGGAAGAACTAAAAGTCTAATAGGATTATTTTGCAAGAAGGATGTTTTCGAAAACCACCATTAAAAAATCAAATTATGTGAAAGAATACAATAATTAAATATTGCCCCAACAGGAATGGCACTAATAGATAGATATTTGGCCTGATATTATACTTGGTAAATAGCCAAGAAATTTATTGAATATATGTAAATGTACCAGGCAACACTTGACACCTTTCTGCAACTGGGTATGTGAACTTTACCACCCTTTCAGAGAGTCTGCATCCGCCCTTATAATGTAAAGCTTTCACAGAGTACCAGTACATTTTGATAATAATGATTATTAGCTATATTTACTTCAGTTGTATAGTTTCCCTCTGTTCAAACACTAGTATACCAGTAGTTGGAAGAGAAAAGGTCAAAAACCTTAAAATGGGTCATGAAAACAGTCTGGCTGGTTTGTATCTGCTACTGGCTGACAAGTAGCTGAACCAGAGTTATCAGTCCAGGCCATGGTCAAGTTCAAGGAAGTGGGACATGTTTACCACAATATTGCTGAATATGCTAATATTTGCCTAGTTGGGCTTACAATTATCAGTTTAGGCCATGGTCCGGTTCACAAAAAAGGGGCATATTTACGTCTATAATTTGCAGAATATGCTAATTTAATAATATTTAAGAGTTGAATTAAGCAAACTTCAGCTGATCTTTTGTACATTGCTTTCCTTCTTTTGCTTATAAAATTCAAAAGAAAAAATAAAATAAATCTAATGAGCTAGCACAAAAGAAAAATCAGTTATTTATATCCTTACTAGGGAAATTCAATTTAATTTTAAATCAGCTACATTTCTCTGGTAACTGACCAAAAACCATTGACCTGAACTAGAGAGAATACCCCAAAATAAACTATTTGTTTATTTGTCCATAGCTAATCCATCATAAAATGTCACATATTTTGGACAACAAAGACCTTTATATAAGGACATTTTATTGGTGTTTTTTGTTGGTTAAAAATGTGAAGATATATTTATTGACATTGTATGGTAGTTTTTTTTTATTGGTTGAAAAATGTGAGGATATCCAATCACAACCATCCATTTGATATTCAAATATTTTTCTCACATCTGTTGTTCAACCACAATGAAGCAAACAAACATAAGCTCATAAAAATTTAAGGACGGAAATTTGACCTTAAATGACCGTCAGTGACCTAGCATGCCCTCAAAAAAAGTTACTTTAACCCTTAAAGACCCAATATAAAAATTCCCCGCTTCAATACATCTATTATGGTATTATATATTGTTTAACCCTGTGTCCACTAGGATCAAAGGATCAAGTTAATCAAGTGTCCAAATCAATATGTAGATCTCTTATGATATCAAACGATCTGGTCAATTTCTTGATCTGAATTTATGTTATTGACCAACTGGTCATTGCCCTTATGAAAACCATAAGAATTCAGTGGAGGTAGAAAAATTTGGCAATTAAACAGCAATTTCGAATCCAAGAATATTTTAACAGTGGTATTTCTTTTGCTCTACAATTGATGTATTGAGCACTATTTTAACAGTGGTATTTCTATTGCTCTACAATTGATGTATTGAGCACTATTTTAACAGTGGTATTTCTATTGCTCTACAATTGATGTATTGAGCACTATTTTAACAGTGGTATTTCTATATAGCTCTACAATTGATGTATTGAGCACTATTTTAACAGTGGTATTTCTATTGCTCTACAATTGATGTATTGAGCACTATTTTAACAGTGGTATTTCTATATATTTCTACAATTGATGTATTGAGCACTATTTTAACAGTTGTATTTCTATTGCTCTACAATTGATGTATTGAGCACTATTTTAACAGTTGTATTTCTATTGCTCTACAATTGATGTATTGAGCACTATTTTAACAGTGGTATTTCTATATAGCTCTACAATTGATGTATTGAGCACTATTTTAACAGTGGTATTTCTATATAGCTCTACAATTGATGTATTGAGCACTATTTTAACAGTGGTATTTCTATATAGCTCTACAATTGAGCACTATTTTAACAGTGAAAATATTTTATTATTGTATATAATATAGTGCCATATCAGGTATTTGACCATATACAGAATATATTTAAATATCTATTGAATAATTGAACAATGGCACTTGGTCATAAATGTATACCCATTGAACTTGTTTTTCAATAACTGATGAAACACACCCTACATGTGTTCTTATTGGTTAACATAAATAGAACCATAAAAGTTGTTTATGAACTCAGTAGGGTTAAGGAGGTGAAATGGTAGTACTGTAGTCTAGTTCTAACCAGGTGGTTAAAGTTGCCATGTTGTGGGCTTGGTATTTCTTTTTGAACAAAACAAGACGTCATAAATTCAAAATTTTTATATAAAAATCGGGCATAATCCTTTTTAATGAAAAACAGAAATATAGAAATGACAATTTGACCAAGCATTTCCGTGGATATTTGTATATTTTTCTTACATACAAGACGTCATAAATTTCTTTCTTGTTATTAAATAAAACAGGAATATCACCAAGAGCTTGATTCATTTAAATGAATAACAGGAATTACGTCAAAGACATGAACACCTAAACTAAGGCGTCTTTCCTAACTTCCTCGTTTAATGTTTACCTTTAAAAAAAAAACACCACATGTTGGGTGTTTCTCTAAATGCTTATAAACAACTTAAGTACCTTTGACTGACTTTGAATTTTTTCTCTGAGTAAAACACATCAAAGGTTTGCTTGACTTTTAATTAATGTCAGCTACATTTCTTTTGGATGCCTTCAGAGCCAGAGATTGAAAAAAATATCATCATTTGGCAGTTGAAGAGGTCTTTAACAAGTTTAACCCAGATTTGGAAACTAAGGCATTAAAGCATCTGACCAAAACAAATATAGCCATGAAGCATTTGACCAGATGACTTGGCTTCATTTCAATTATCTCTCACAATGGCCTGGCTCAGTGACCAATATTCCTTTACAATTCAGTTATTATGAGGCTTCATGTATAAATAATCACACTCATAAAACTAATATATAGCCTATTGGTATATATCAGACAATGTGTTATTGAGATAGATATATAGAAATTTCATAGCAGAATCACATGAGGAAAATATATTATGGAAAGAAAATATATTAAAAAATCATTAACAATAGGATAAATTGATTTTGAAAAGGAACATTAACCTATATATAGGGCCAGTAATAATAGAGGTCATTATACCAGTAAGAAATAAAATAGACGCCTACATAGGATTGGTCTTTAAAGTGTTGGTGTCATTGGTAACAGTGTTAGCAGTTTAATATATATATAATTAGCAGATTTTTTGATCTTTCTGGCTTAAAGATCCTTAACCTAGAATATTTCCACACAATTAGACAAAGGCACCGATGGATTGGGTTAAAGATCCATTCTCAAATGACTGCAAACCTGTTCTTAATGTCAATTGCACATGTTACTCTCAAAATTAATGATATGCAATTATAAAATATTATGTACAAATATAGTAAAACACCATATTTCATGCCTCACCGAGATATCTGAGCTCTGTTTACATTTTTTACCCCAGATTTAGTAGTTGTTCCCAAAGAATGGCAGACACTAATTAACCGAATTTGTATATTTTCAAAATTAATGATATGCAATTATCAAATATTATGTACAAATACGGTATCATACCATAAGTCACGTCTAACCGAGATATCAGAATTCTCTAACATTAACCAGAATAATCATAATTGACCTCCACTTTATTTGAACTTGGCAACAGGTGGTGTACTCTATAACCCATCAGTATCAACAAGTCCACTAGGTGTAGATTTTCCATAAAATTGTCATAAACAAAGATCTGATATATATATGTATAAAGGTCACATGAAAGTTTTAATCATAATTTAATAATATGTGACTCTTTGTTTAAAAGCAAGGTTTCTGGAAATTTCTCCAATCAAAAAATTCAGGTGGATATTTTCCAAGGAACAATTCTATTTCAATATATATAAATGTCAAATGAAATTTTTAATTATCATTAAATGTTAGATTGCTCTTTGTCTGAAGCAGAATTCCTGGAAATTTCCCCAGTCGATTGCGAGGAATTCCATGCCAGAAAATCTGTTACCAGATAGGAAATAATCAATAAAACTGCTTCACATAACAATACTGGTATTTGATGAAATATTGTAAAAAATTTGATAACTACATTCAATTTTTTTTTTTATCTTATTGCGTTATTTTCAATTATAAACGGAAATTTTCATCCTACGCTTTGAGAAATTGATGGTCTGATAGCCTCCTACGTAATATCAAATTCCTATCACATTTTATTTCTATTTTTGAAAATTAAATTATAAGTTAAATTTAATATCAAAATGCCAAAGTAAAGAGATTTCATATAAAATTTCTTCTATTTTTCAAGTTTTCTTTTTGATTTAGGAACCTTTCTTTATTTTATCTTACAGGGAGTCAAGATGGTCCAAGTAGCAGAAGATAGGTACTCAGTTCCTGCAAGATGTAAACTTTCGAGTTTTCGTACATAGAGATACTTTGGTAAATACAAATATTCTTGAAAATAAATTTTCTAAATATTATCCAAAGACAAGATAAAATATTATGGTTTTTGAAGATATGTAAATATTATTGAAAATAATGACATCAAAATATTATTGTGTATAAAGATAAGAAAATATTATGGGAAGACACGATACAATGGTACAAGATAAGATATCAGCTGTTTATATGAAGGACAAAAGATCTTATCTAATCGTTAGAAGCCATGATAACTTCATTACGTCAATATCGATATTGATTAAACCATGTTTATTTATAGAAATTAACGCCGGCGACTGAATCCGGCCGTTACATAATTGATTTTAAGAGGGAGTGCCAAGACTGAATCAATATTTAATTTCTTTAAAATATTTTAACCTCTCTGAGTTTAAAGCTCTTGGAATTCCAATGCTTGATCTTTCAGAGTTTCTATGTATGATAAAATCTTGATGGAAATGGCCCTCCCCACTTTCAACATTCCACAAAATATAGTATGGTATGGATCTAAAGGCAGGATATTTTGGAGATTATGGAAAGTCTAGGCCCCCTGCATGAGGAGTTAGAATTCCCTCCACTGAGATCTACGCCTTTTTTCCCCACTCCAAAAATGAAATATCAACAGCAAAAAACCATCTACCAAACTACTACATTTTAATTGTTGACACTATGGACAATCTAAGGTCTTCAGTGTCATCAACATCCATCAATCCTCTCCACCCAGTCCCAAAAATATCAAAAGCCCCACTCCAAAAATGAAATATCAAACTGCCAAACTGGTGCTGCTTAATTTTGAAAACTATGGACAATCTAAGTCTTCAGTGTCATCAACATCTGCCAATCCACCCAGTCCCAAAAATATTAAAAGCACACATACCTGATCACTCCAGCCTTTACCATACCGCCACTCTGTCACGTAATGTTCAAAGTTTCTCGTCATTAGATTGAAGGGAACAACTTTGGATTGAAGTTTCATCACAGAATTCATTATAACGTTTATAGGCTGAGGTTTCAAGCTACGCTGCTTGGCTGGGATTTCTTTGTTATTGACTCGTACTAAGTGTTTATCTGCCATTTCTGAGAGTTCGCAGATTTCTACAATTGCTTCCTCATTGGGAATATCGGTCTCTATACCAGCAAGATGTGCCACTTCCCCATGTCCAATATAAAGGGCCCAGTCTGAGTATATGGTTCGGTCTACCTCAATTAAATCTCCAATGTTTAACTCTACATTCTTGTTGTTGATGAGGTACTCTGCTGTAACAAATTTACCTGAAATAGACCAAAAATTGGTTAAAAGCTCCTGATCACTGAGTTTGCTTGATTGCTCTCAAATGACAATTTATCCAAAACAAGACACAGAATATTAGATGCAAGATCGTATCTTATCAACCAAGTTTGCTTGCTGGGCCTTAGACTCTCTTAGGCATCTCATCTCAAATGGGATGGGACAGTCTGAAACCATGTAAAAAAAAAAAAAAAAAAAAAAAAAAAAAAAAAAAATCCTTATTCATTTCAAACAAAGCCATAAAAATGCAATAAGAATGTCAAAAAAAAAAAAACTAGCCATGCTTTTGTATAAGATATAAAACACTTACCTAAGCGTTTCAGCATGATAGTTTAAAATTAGTTTGTATTATTTTGACGACACGTCTACGTTCACTGAAAATCTATAGTGAACTGATCTTATTTTCATTTGCTGGGTATTTTCCACAGGCAGTGGAAATTTCCAACACAGGGAGCAATCATGTAGAATTTTAGTGATAAAAATGATGATATTCTCATAAAATCTGCACTCAGTACAACCCAAAAGAGTACGGAATATTTAGGAATTTACAAGTTTTGACATTTTTTAAAAAAACAACGCAGTTTTCATTCATACTTTTAAAATGTTTACATAATATGCTTGACACTGCAATGATTTCTCATGACCCGGACTAGTCCATTATTAACCGTAGAGATGTTCCATTTTCATTCACTGATTTACTGTTATAATGACCCATATCACAGTAGCTGCTTAGCTGATTGGTTTATATCTGTTCACCTTTCTTACATAAACAATGAACTTAACATCTAAGCCGAGATGGACTCATCCAAGCGGGAAATTTAATTTTCTTTTTTTAGACCAGAACAATGTGACAGTTCCCATCACATGATCACACATTGACAATATCAGTGACCCCTTTCTTGCAGAGACAGTAAAAATATGCCCATCATATAGGTCAAAACATGTCAATCAAATCAGTAAAAATATGTCAATCAAATATTTCAAAATATGTCAATCAAATAAGTCAAAATAAAGCCATAGAATAAGTCAAAACATGTCAATCAAATAAGTCAAAACATGTCAATCAAATAAGTCAAAATAAAGCCATAGAATAAGTCAAAACATGTCAATAAATAAGTCAAAATGTGTCCATCAAATCAAGTAAGTCAAAAGATGTCAATCAAATAATAATATGTCAAAATATAGCTGTTGAATAAGTCAAAATATGTCTACCAAATAAGTCAAAACATGTCCATCAATTAAGTCAAAACATGTCCATCAAATAAGTCAAAACATGTCCATCAAATAAGTCAAAACATGTCCATCAAATAACTCAAAACATGTCAATCAAATAACTCAAAACATGTCAATCAAATACATGTATATCAAATAATATCAAATAATATGTCAAAATATAGCATTGAATAAGTCAAAACATGTCAATTAATTAAGTAAAAACAGTTCCATGACTGCTTGATGCAGTGCAGTGCTGAAAGTCAGACCATCAGCTTCACTTGACCTATAGTTATCTTGTCATTCAGTTCAACACTCTGTCATTATGCACTTTGAACATGATGTATATGCATTATCAGTAAGGTATTCTTTATTGGCCTCAATGATAAAGTATAGATGGAGATAATATTAATAGATACACCTAATGTGTACGTGTTTAAAACATACATCTCATGATATCTAGATATCAAAGGGACCATATGACTTTTTGACTGCAATAGAAATATGACACGCATCTGGTTTCTCTGCTAATTAAGGATATTTGTACTTAAGGTTTGATAAAGTTTTGAGCGTTGGTTGTAGGTTCTAATCTTAATAGGCATTTGAAAGTCAGAAAACCTTTAATCATGATTTCAGGCGACATAGCGGGAAATGGGTACTGATAATTTGAGAAAGACCAATACCAAGAGGATTGGCCAAGGACTAGCTGGTAGAAAGGATCCTTTGTGAACTTGCGAACTATTTATCCTTGTAGAAAATAGTTTTATTCTTTTATAATCATTATTATTATTATTATTTCAGGACATCTGAAGAATGGTGAGTGTAGAGAATGAGAGGAAACCACTGATATCTGTATTAGCAGACCATAATTCCATATCATCATATTCTAGTATTGATCAGAGAAGAATTCAACAGCTTCAGGATGCAGGTAACAGTGTTTGCTATATACTGTATAATTGTGTATATAATGCACAGTTTATAACCCTAGAATCATTCTCTCCATTTACCTTACTTATATTGCGTTTTAGATTTTCTTTCTATGTCCTTGCTTCTCTTAAAGTGTGTTGTTATAACACCCAAACTGTATTTTTGTTATAGAATGCTGTAACTGTGTGTGTCATTGTTCTTGTAACTGGTTGCCAGCCAGATACGTCTTGGCGATGATGTCTTCATTGGGGTTCCTCATTATCTTCTGTCTACGTTCAAATCTGAGTGTAGCCCTGGTTGCTATGACTTTCATCAATGAGTCCATGACCAACAAGTTGATAAACCAAAGTAGTGAATGTCCAGCCCCTTACCTTCCAGTTCATAATGAAACTGATATTAAGGTGGGTTCAAATTACAAATACCAAGTGTCATATACGAAATTATATATCAAGAAGTTCTATGGGCTACCTGGAAAACAAACCCCATATTTGGCAAGGATAACAACTTGAGTTCTTGAATCCTTTCTACCAGTTTGCCTGAGAGCAAGCAATTAATAGATTATCTGCTGGTCCTTCATCATGTTCTTCGTAGTTCCATTTTGTCTTTCAGAAGGGTGAATTTGAATGGAATGAAGACATCCAAGGAATTATACTTGGATCTTTTTATTACGGGTACTTTATCACCCAGATTCCTGGGGGCTGGCTGGCTCAGTATATCGGTGGTAAACATCTGGTGGGATTTTCAACTCTCGTGACATCCATTTTAACAATATTATCTCCCTTTGCCGCCAGGTACCATTGGACCATGCTGATGGCTGTTCGTATCTTAGAAGGTGCTGTCCAGGTAATGAGTTGATCTTTGCTTTGCTTTATTTCCTTAGATGGTTGTTTCCATACAAGGAAGTAGTGTCTATTAGGCCATATTTGGAAGAAGTGCTTGAAAGTTGTCTGTTTTGGGCCATTGTGTTGGTTCTTAGAGCTTTATCACTGGTGCACTCATGGTACATCACTTGGATCAAAATTAGGAAGCACAACATCATGCATCTTTTATTCATTTTGGGGTGATGTTTTTCAGGGAGTGACTTACCCAGCCATGCATGCTATGTGGGGACGCTGGGCACCCAAGTCAGAGAGAAGCAAATTAGTTTCAATCACCTATTCAGGTAAGAAAAGGACAAATTTTATAGATATCAAACAAGCAATAGGAAGGGGGACAACTCTTCAGTGACTATTGGTAAATAAGACCACAGTTGATACTATGATGTCACCACTATGATGTCTTTGTCCGGTCCAGTATCTACAGTTTTCGTAGCAAATGGATTAATTCTGTTCTCTTTACTGCCTGGAAATTTTATTGTACATGAATTTTATATCTATTCTCAGGAGCTGGATCTGGTACCACAATAGGTCTCCTTGCCTCTGGTTATTTATGTGAGTGGAAGGTAGCAGGTGGATGGCCAGCTACATTTTATATATTTGGTGAGTTGGAGGACATCTTTTAATTTTTTAAGGGCTAAGGGCATCTAAAAATATAGGAGGAGTAACCTCTAAAATGGTAGAGAACTGTGGTCCAAGGGGAACAAGCAATCACCACAGAGGTACATATTTTGACAAGAGGAATAAAACAGAAAAAAAACAGCTATGGATCCTTTCTACCAGCTAGTCCTTGTCCAATACTCTTAGCAGTGATCTTTCCCAGATTATCTGTTCTCATTTACAGATCAGGGTTAATAAGAGCTCCAATATTGTTTTCTGCAGGTAGTATAGGCTGTGTGTGGTTTATAATATGGACTATACTCATCTATGATTTACCAGAGGATCATCCAAGGATTTCAGCATCCGAATTACAACTCTTAAAAACTACCACTAGTTCTTTGCAACTTGATGATCAAAATAAGGTACCCATATCTTTACAATCAACTTTTTGTTATGACAAACTAAAATCAAAACAACTTTTTGTTATGACAAATTTAAATCAAAACAACTTTTTGTTATGACAAACTAAAATCAGAACAACTTTTTGTTATGACAAACTAAAATCAAAACAACTTTTTGTTATGAAAACATGCAAATATAAATAAAATTTTATTATAGGGGCAATATATATTTGTACTGGTCAATTTTAATCCCTTTGATCATAGCTTATGTGATATCTTTTTAGAAATTGAAGCCACCTTGGAAGAGTATACTGTCATCATCAGCTGTGTGGGGAATTGTGGCTGCCCATGTTGCTAATGAGTTTGGATTCTTCAGTTTGTCTAGCTGTCTACCAACTTATATGAAGTACATCCTCAACTATGACATTATGCAGGTCTGTTTGGAATATATATATTAAAACAAATTCTGTAAATCTTGGACATGCAGCCCAAAATTCTTCAGAGATTCAAAACACTTATGGTGTTACCATCTTCATAAGCTCAGTCAGGCCTCATATAACTTGACATAAACTCCACATTATTTTTGCCTCCAGGATGGTTTCTTGTCAGCTCTTCCCTACATGGTTCTACTGGTGTTGACTCTAGTTGGAGGACAAGTGGCAGACATCATCAGGATGAAGCAATGGTTATCAACTGGATCCACCAGAAAGCTGATGAACACAATTGGTAGGTTGATCTGTATCTCTCCAAACAGAAGTCTTTTCTGTTTCAAGTATACCACAAGCAATCCTTCATCAGTAGGACATTGAAGAGTAGGCTAAGGATTAGCCCAAAAGTAGACTGTAAAGCTACATTTCATTTCGTTTGATTTTTTATTCAGGTCTCTTGGTGCCAGCTAGTTTGATGTTAGTTCTTGGATATGTCAACTGTGATTCTACACTAGCTGTTGCTCTACTCACAGCTGCTGTAGGCATGACAGGGTTAACCTCAGCTGGGTATTCCTGTAACCATCTAGACATTGCTCCACAATTTGCAGGTATGACTTCAATATTCCTTTATAGACTGAATATCGTATGATACAACAATACTTGCACATACCATATATTTGGGTGTATAGTGCGCATTTATTTACCGAAGAGGGGTTGTAAAAGTAAGGTTGGCGTTATAGTATATGGTGTAATTTTATTTAGAGCAAGAACTTTGTTCAATGGGCAATATTAAATTTTTAATAATTTTAGTAACATAATATTAGTAATGTGAACTTGGTCGTTTAAATACCGTATAAATGTGAATAAAGTGCACACCTTTGTATACTTAAATGAACCTGGGAAAAATCGCGGCTGAAAGTAGATGAGACAATTCTTCACTTTATCAAAATAGTATATAATATATGATATTGAGTTAATGTCATGTGTTTATTATCTATAGGTGTACTGATGGGACTAACGAATATGTTGGGAACTTCCACTGGATTTATTGGACCATATATTGTGAGCCTCCTTACAGACAATAATGTAAGCAAATCTTATCGTTTCTAGTTTACATGTCATAATCTGCGCTCAAGTAGATTACAGTACAACCAATTTTCTTAGAAAGACAAGGCCAAAAAAACAAAATTCAAATATCTTTTTTCAGCAAACCCGAAAACAGTGGCAGAAGTTTTTCTACATTGTGTCTGGCATTTATGCTGCTGGAGGAATCCTGTTTCTATTTGTAGCTCAAGGGGAAGAACAGATCTGGTCAATCAAGGCTACATTAAAACAGCAGAAACGCGAAAAAACTTTCAGCGTCCAAAATCCTGCTGAAGATGATGAGGAGAACTAGGATTAAGCCCCTAAGCTTTTTATTTATTGCTTTAAAATTGATATGAAATGGAGATTTATCTTCTAATCTATACCTCTGCTTGTGATTGGGCTAACGATGCCCGGCAATACAGTGAGGTGCAATGAGGGAAATTTTGTCAATTTTGATTTTATATGTGCATAAACGTAGCACACAGGACCTGGGTTTTTTCAGCCATCCAAAAAACTAGACAATTTTTATGATTTTGGTAATTAAAACAGTAAAAAATAGAAATATCAGTCTGTGGGACAGTCTCTTTAAAGAAATAAATTCTTTAAATAAATAATAATAATAATTATGCATTCATAAAAGAGCCCAACCCTAACCACTCTTCTACTCTCTGTCTGTTCATATCCTCTTTGCTGGTGCCACCATTGGATTATTTTACATGGGTTAGAGTTAGACCCAACACACCAAAGTCTTTGGGAACATACCCAGGCTCTTTATTTTACATGGTTCAGAATTAGATACAATATACCCTTAATGACATTCAGCCTATCTGAATTAGTGATTAGAGTTCAAGTCTTATTTACCAGTATTGATTTGATTTTTTTATCCATTTTTTAAAATGAAAATTCTAGACTAACATCCTTTAAGTATGTCAGCTTATCTGCCCACAAATCAAGGCTGGTCAATTTAAAGTAACATAACACCTTCCACAGTATCTGTTAAATGATGTTCGCTCCAGTGAACACAAGGCAATAATTCAAGGACTGTATCCTTTATTTCGCATGACAAAACCAACTTGCTGATATTTCTGTCGGAAATTGGGAAAATTTAGTGGTTATTTCTAGAAAATGTTTTAGTTTTTGTAACATGAAGCTAACAGTGTTTTAATTCTAAGAGGAGATTATTTGAGATCAGTTGGAATTTACTGAAAGTTTCCATAGATTTATGTTTAATATACTTTTTTCATACAATTTTCTTGAAGACTGCAGATATTCGAAATTATTTTGGAGTTGGCAGCATTCCACAGAGGACTTAAGTTCCAAATATGTCTGAGATTCATAGTTTCTATGGAATATCTTTTGAGGACAAGTGCTTTGCCTTTAAGTGATTGCAACTTATTTTGTGCTTTCAAAGGTTTCATTGATTTTCTTTGCTTTGGTTTTGGGAGTTTGTTTGTTGAAAAAGACTAAACGTTTGTGGTTTGTTTGAAAAACATTGACAATTTGAGTTTTGTTTTCAAAACATTAAAAGTTTGTGATTTGTTTTTTTAAATATAAGCGGTTTACTTCCAAAACATTGGCGGTTTGCTTTCAAAACATTGGCGGTTTGCTTTCAAAACATTGGTGGTTTGCTTTCAAAACATTGGCGGTTTGCTTTCAAAACAAGAGCGGTTTGCTTTCAAAACAGGAGCGGTTTGCTTTCAAAACATTGGCGGTTTGCTTTCAAAACAGGAACGGTTTGCTTTCAAAAGCAGTATCATAACGCGATATCAACTTTGGTCGGATACTGTTGTACCTGATGGAGAATTCTCCAGATGAAAAATCAGCTCAGTTCCATCTGCACACATCCTCAGATGAAGATGATGATGAAGAGGCTGAAGAACTTTCAAAAACAAAACAGAATAGTACCAAACCTATGGAAAGATCCTCAAAAAGTAAGTTACTTTATGTTGACTTTGTTTGTCATTGAATTAGAAAATCCATTGAGTCTTGTCTCAGTTTATATTACCTGAGACCTAGGCAACAGTTTTGGTCCAAATATGACACTGATGCGTCATATCAAAGCTGTGATCATTTTACAGACTTAAGTCCAGTTGATCCTTCTTTTCCTGTCTGATAAAAAGGGAAAGTTTCTTGTAATCATAGATAAAAGCAGCTCAATAATGAAGGTGTTCCAAAGATTTGGGCATTAGCAATAGCATTTTTTTTTTTCATTCAGGCAATTCAAAGCCATCTTTGACAAAGAATGGGTTCTCGGATGAAGTGTTCCTCCCAAACCAAAAGCGCCAGGGAAACTTCCAGAAAACTGTTCTTGTAGGACCATTAAAGTAAGATTTTTTTTATTATTGGCAATTATATTTTTTTATCATTAATTGTACAGGGTTAAAAATTTCTAAGAAAATCTAGTAACCTTGAGTATATCTTTATTCAAATCAGTATGTCCATCCAGGAAAGACTGTTATTGCCTGGTCAAGGATCAGATGCAAAATGTCTGAAAAATGGAAGTTGACTCCATACAAGCAATCTGACTATTTTCAACTATTTTGTCAGCAATTTTACTTCACATTTGTAGGGATAAATTGTTTGTTGGATTGAGTGGGTTGTATGGAATAGCTCTGGTAGTTCTTGGGTTTGTTCTGCCCATTGCTGAAACCTTCACTAACCCTAACAAACCTTATTTCTTTGAGGTATGTTTATTGTTTCTATATATTTTGGAATTAGAGTTTGTTAATAAATGTATGTACTTTATTAAATTATGTACATTCAATAAATTATGTACTGGTTCTTCATCAATTTATATATTTTATGTCTTGTTATCATATTATCAATTTATGCAGGCCCTATTTTGTCCATAATTGCCTTAACAATTTACATACTTTGACATACCCTATTTATTTTTTACAGATTTTTTACCTGTATCTGTATATATCCAGTATTTTCTTCCTGATCTATGTATATGTCTATCTCCTACGTCGTAACAGAATGTCCTTCAATATCTTATCCAAGACCTGGTCCTTTCGGAAATCAGCCAGTTCGTACAGAGATTCCCCTAATGCTAGTACCACCTCATTCAGAACACGTAAGAGAAGAGTGGCCTTTGATGAAACCAATAACCACCATACTGGGAGCTTCTATCTCAGACTGGGAGCTTTGGGTAGGTATTTTGCTTTTCAAAACCACAATCTTGAGCATCAGGTTCAACAAGAAAACTCCCATCGAATTTTAAAAAATGTGAGCTTCTACTTCATATTCTTGTGAATCAATTTCCATTTATTTTCCTTTCAGCATTTGGTGTTGGCAGCATGATCCACAGTGGGTTGAATTTTGGACATTATTTTGAAATCCATCACCAAGGTGATCCATGCAGTGAACTTGTTCAAGCCGTCAAGCCTTTAATCCATCTCATCTTTACCTTTGCCCAGCTCTATTTTGTGTTTCAAAATTCTAAGGTACACTTACCATATATTTGTGTGTATAATGCACAGTTATTACCCAAAAGAAGGCTTCCCTAATTGGGGTGCACTAATGTTTTTTAATCATGATAATTTTCCAATGGTTTATGTCCCCAAATCATTTGTAAGAAAGGTTAACAAGTTCTCGAGGAGCTTGTCTATCAGCTGATCTTCAGCCCAACCTCTTGGTATCCTTTTACAGCTGGGACAGCTGGCTCTTTGTTTGGTTGGAACCCTTCACCACAATCTTCTTTTCTTTTTTAATTCACCTCATGATGATGGTATCTGTTTTTTTTTCAGATGTGTATCCACCGCTACAGATCTCTGGCAAGGTTTGGTTTGATGCATATGAGTGGTACCAACATTTGTGTGTGGGTTCGAGGGATTGTCGTGGAAACTTTGCAGGTCATTCGGAAGTCAGAGAGACAGAAGACTGCTAAATATTTGCAAGAAAATCCTTTGTTGGATGCCAATAACAACTCCATTGCTAATTCTAATTTAGCTAAAGGTGTGTAACATTTTAGTATTTAGTTACCTTGAAGAATATAAATTTTCAGCTATATGAACTCTTAAAAAAGCTTTTCCGGTTGTTAATTTTAATATTATGATTGTGCCTAATTCTATGGGTTTTTTTGTAGAGGAAGATCGTTATGATTTGCTACCAGAGCTAGCCTGTCATTGGGATGCCATGATGGGAAGAATAGTGGACCGAGCTTCTGATTATCTTTATCCTTGTACCATAGAATACAGCTTAATCTGTGCTGGTAGGTATATCAACTGCAATTTTAAGGAGATATTAGATGAGGTCTTTTCTAAATCACATTTCAAAATTTGGATGTGTCAACTTAAATTGAGCATTTTATGATGTTGAAAACTACAATTGATATTTAAGGACCTTTCCCATACTGATGTCATAAAACGGAAGACCTCTTTAATAAAAGTTTTTCATATCATGTTATGTGAAGTGCACATATTTGGCATTTTTAACTTCTTTGTTATTTTTTTTACTGTTACAGCTATCCTGTATATTATGTGGAGGAATGTGGGATATGGAAAAAGTCCACGAAGAGAGAAATCTGTCTCTGATGATGAATATGATGGAGACAGCATGAGGACCACTCGAATGAGTGTGGACTGTACAGGATCCAGTCGAGGGTTGTTCCTCGGAATACTCATGTTTGTAGTAGGAGTTGTTTCCCTTGTTGCGTTTTACGTCCTGGTCAATCAGGACCATTTGCAAACAGAAGCGACTTTACTTGGACACATTTCTGAATCTTTCATGTACCTTGTTTCCATGGTTGCGGTCATCTTTGCAGCCAGTCGGATGAAAGATCTGCATTATTCTCGGAAAAGAGGAGGCTTGGAGCAGACTCTCATCATCTTCGCCTTATTTGGTCTCTTTATTTTTGGTATGTTTAGCATTGTTGCTGCCATGTTTTTTATTTATACACTAGATGGCGTACTGACCATCATCACCAATTTTTTGATGATCATCCAGGCTGCAATGCAGGCTGTTTTCATGATGGCCGCCTTGAAAATGTCTGCTTCGAATGTCTTACATGTGCGTAGGAAAGATGGGAGGGAATATGTCACCTTCCTACTGATGACTAACTTTGCATTGTGGGCCATCAATACATTTGAGACTCAACGTTCCGAGCACAATCCTCTTCAGCTTCAATTTTATGGTCCTAAAGCTTGGTCTATATTTAGCCATATCAGTGTTCCACTTGGAATTTTTTATCGCTTTCATTCGACAGTCTGCTTATCAATTATTTGGAAAAATGCTTGGAAGCACAAATGATTAAGTCGGATTTTTACAGCTAAGCTTTTGGTATCTTAAGCTACAAAAAAATTAGTTATATAAGATTCATCTTAAGGCATGTCAATGAATTTGCCCCATAAACTATTAAAGCTTTGTTAGGTAATATATCTGCATTTTTTTCACAACATTATAAGGGAATTTCCCTTGCACTTGACCTTCCATCCACAATATGCCAGTAAAAGCAACAGAAGCCACAATTGTGATTTTGATACAAACTTGGTTTGGTGATTTATCTTGCTGAGATCTCTAATGATCTTGGATTGTAGCCTAGTTTTAATTCCCTGTACTTAAAGCCCCAATAGTCCTAGTTTAAGTCACAGTATACAGAGTTATAGGCTATCCATAGCAGGTACACTGATACTTATCAACAAAAAATATTCAATCCGTATAAATTGAACCAACTTCTGACCACAAATAACTTCTATGGTCTCAAACGTAGTTTTTCAGCTTCATTTTTGTCGTCAATATTGCTCTACCTTCGGTGGTTAACTTTTGCAGCTTCAAACTACTATTCCGCAAGTTGACGGAGTCGTATAAATTTGTACCGGTATAGATCAATAAACGACTCGTCAAGTTTGTACGCGCACTCCAGAAATCGGCAGTTAATCCGTAAAATTGTATTACCATTAGTTGTTAGTTTGTTAGTTGAGTAGTACTGTATCTATGATTCGGAAGCATCTCGTTCTACTGTGTTTTTGAATGCCAAACAAGAAGGTTTATTACAGTTAATAAGGCGTATAATTATCATGGCTAAAATTTTGGTGAAGTACGTGGTGAAGGTTGTACAGATGCACAATTGTGATGTGTGTGGGCAGTGTTTTACAGAGCTGCCGCAATTGAAAGATCACATGAAAATCCATGATAACGGTGGACATCAGTTCATGGTTCAAGCTACCACACATAATGATAATGAACACAGTCATGGCGATGGTGGAGGGAGTGAATTGATGACTACAGCATCAGCATTTAATGGCAAAACAATTTACAAATGCGGCGATTGTGAATTGTCTTTTGGCAGCATGAGAGACCTTAATAAGCATGTGAGAAACCTAAGTACAGAGAAACCTTACCAATGTGATGTTTGTGAGAAATACTTTCCAATGTTGCGCTCAATAAAAAACCACATGAGAATACATACTGGAGAAAGACCATTTCAATGTACTCTGTGTCAAAAGTCTTATTCTAATTCAGGTGATTTATCCTATCACAAACGTTTACATACTGGAGAACGACCTTGGAAGTGTGATGTTTGTGGGAAAAGTTTTACTTTTCTACCTAAGCTCAAATCCCACATGAGGGTACATACTGGAGAGAAACCTTTCCAATGTGAAGTTTGTTTGAAATTTTTTGCACAGGCATCACAGCTGAAGAATCATGTGAGAATTCATACTGGAGAGAAACCTTACCAATGTGATGTTTGTAAAAAGTCCTTTGCTACCTCAACTACTCTGAAACAGCATACAATTATACATAAAGAAAAACAGTACAAATGTGATGTTTGTGGAAAATATTTTGCCAGGCCACATTATCTGAATAATCATATGAGAATGCATACTGGAGAAACTCCATTCCAATGTGATGTTTGTCAAATGACTTTTACTCTCAAAAGCCATTTAGAAAAGCATATGAAATTGCTCTCCGAAGAAAAGCATTACCAATGTAATGTTTGCAAAGAATACTTTTCAGAGCTGGCAATTATTAAGACCCATGTGAAAAAGCATGCAAAAAATAAAGGGCACCCATGTGATGTTTGTGAAATGAGTTTTACTAAAAGAAGTGATTTAATCAATCACAAAAAAACTCATACCGGGGAGAAACCTCACCCTTGTAATGTGTGTGGAAAGCATTTCTTACGGAAGTCATATGTGAAAAAACACATGAGAATACACACTGAAGAAAAAGAGAAAAATTTTAAAAAGAAACCTTACAAATGTGATGTATGTGGTATGTGTTTTTCCCATGAGGGTTATCTTTATTTTCACATGAGATCTCATCCTGAAGAAAAATCTTAAAGATGAGTTGCCTTATTCTCATGTATGAAAATGAAAATGCTAATATACTTGTATGAATAGAAAGTAGTGGTGTTCTAATGACTTGGAAAAATGCCAGCTTGTCTCACATGTCTATAATTAATTCATAATTAACTAAATTAGAAGAGAATTACCAGCAGAATCCTAATGAGTGACTGATCAAGAAAGGTCAAAAGGTCATTGTTTTGTTTATCCAGACAGTAAATAAATGGATATTTATTTTTATAAAATTATTTAAAAACTTATTTTTTTTCTTTGTATGTGTAATAAAAAGTTATCAAATTTCTTAGGGGGTTGTGAATTCAAGGGGCATAACATGAAAGAAAATCCATGAAAGAAAATCAATCGCCAGGTATGTCCATAACGGAACCAACCTTCCATTTCATTAGAACGTCAGGATAATTCCAGGCTTTCAATGCCACAATAACAAGACAAAAGTTTGATTTTAAACAATTTGTATTCAATTTATTTGAAAGTAATAAATGAATATCCACACATAACAGAGTTCATTTATACCACAATCACCGCTGTTCATTCCAAAATATGAAATTTTGGTGGTTTTGAATTTTGAAGCAACACAAGTACTAAAATTGTGCTGCCAGAGATACAATTTTAAAGCCATAAACCGTCTTCAAACCTTTTTGAAACTATTGAAATAAAATTTGACCATCGTTCTATCCGAATTAAATTGCGGGTCGTAATTTAAAGCTTAACTAACGAACCCTCCGGCCGCTTTTGAAAGCATGAAAATTTCTGATACTCTACCCGGAATGTAGTTGAAAAATTAAATGAATCTTCCATCGCACTTAAAGATGAATCCCAAACGGCAAAAAATACTTAAGCTTCAATCAGGACGAATCTGAATTAAATTGTTGAACGTAACGCAAGCTTTACTATTAGCGTACTTTCCGGGATTAATTTGAAAGTAGAAACTAAATTGTTTTGAACTATTATTTCACAGACGAGCCATTGAAATATGTAATAGTATTTTCATACACCACAAAAGTCAAAGCACAAGCTGGAACAACTCGTAATAAATTTGGTGTTAGTCCTTTATAGTAACCATACCAGCCCTCATACCTGAAAAAATAACATGCTAATGTGTATGTGTACAAAGATAAATTTTGAAGGGGTCCGTTTACTAGGCATTGTTCCCGTCGTTTTTTTTTTAATTGTGTGTTTGAAATGACGGAATACGATACAAAATTCGAATAGTTGGGATCTGGATTGTAGGCCGTCCAATGCCACCAATACGTTTTCCGTATGCCCACCCGTCAAAAGGGTATCTCTGAATTGCAATAATGCAACACAATTAAGGCTTTCTTCCATGGGTGCGTTATTGACGTCAGAATCAGCGCTGTTACCGATAGCAACAGCAACTTCCGAGAAACGTCATTGTATTGTATTTAAGATGACTGTGCACGTTCCGGTACGATTCAAAACATATACACGACCAGTTCATATTAATTTAGGGTGATGTAGGTAGGTAGTAACATAATCTAAGTCTGGTATACATACATTACTACCTATTATACCTCAAAATAAAATAGACTGCTTGAAAATCTCGAAACGGCACCTGTATTGGGAATACCCTCTTCCAAGATCTGTGAAGTTCGAAGGTTGAATAGGATGATTAGATGTCGATGTCAGTCATTTATAATCCTCCCGATATACAGACAACATCCGTAAGTTAATCTTACTGTTTTTATTTAGACCCAATTCGGGCAACTGCCGACATATCCAACATGTACTTGTTTACTTTAAATAATAGTCCGAAATACTATTTGTTTTGGTATTGCAAACATGATTTTTTTCCAATAGTAGTAAGGTTGAAACCTTTTTCTACTAGTCTGAAATGTTATACCCTTATTTCATAATCCAAAAGTTTCAGTAGTAGTTAGATCTGACCCTGTTAGTGGTCTGCCAGCTGAATAAGTAAGCTCTTTCCTATCTCTGAAACCTGTCACTGCATAAAACAAAGTGTAGGGCATCCTAACAGAAAAAGAAAACTCAGCTGTTCTTTGTAGTTTGTGAAAAGCAAATGGCATTTTTACTATCACTGTGAATAAAAACAAAACAAAACCATCTGCTGTATCCATTTTATATAAATAACAATCAACTGACAGAAATCAGCTTTTAGTACAACAAAAACAATTATCATAACTTTGAAATAATTTCCCTCCATATTTGTTTTAATGAAAATGGCGCAAGTGGCAAAGAAAATGAATATCAAATGCAAGTGTGGAATAATACAAAAAATTGGAATCTAATAAGTGCTTAAATGAATTTGAGCTTCTTAGTGATCAATTTGAAAATACTTATTCCAAATTTAGAACGGCTCAGATCATTGCTAATATCAATTATAAATATGACTTTTGATTTTCTAAAATGCAATCAAACCCTTCAGAAATATGATGCTTCTAAAAATTTACACCTCTTTTTCTGAAGCTTAAAATGCCCACAACTATTCTGGAGACTGTTAAAACAATCAGATAAAAATGCAGATATTTTTCTGTGGTGTTCTTCACTTACTATCCATGATCTGACGCATTTGTTATACATTATATGTTCATGGTCAGTGAAATAATTAAGCAATCAAATGCCCTGCTATGCATTTTTATCAGATTGCTGTTAATAGTAAAATTTAACAACCTCACATCATTCTTGTTTATCATTTTCAATATTTACAATTTACATTTGTACAAAAATATAAAAAGAGGTTCTGCCTCCATAAACCAATTTCTTGCCCACCAATCGGCTGTTTTTTTGCTTTGTGCAATAAAGTAATAATTTATTATAATAAAGACTTAAAAAGATTATGTTGAATTATTTGAGCATCTCCAAAAAGCATGGTGGAAATTTCTAATCATTTTTCAAATGTTTTCACCTTGAGAATAATGTAAAATGTTAAAATTTCTAAAAAACTTGATCAGAAAAAGTATGAAACAAAAACACCTTCTAAAAGGTTAAAAATAAAAAAATGCAGTTTTACTTTTCTCTTTACAAAAATAGAATTAAATAATATGCTATTTTACGAAAATTGTAAAAGAATATGCTATAAATGCTAATCAATATTGCCGTTGAAATGAAAAGTTTTTATCCATAATCTTGAATAAAAAAATTTGTCTCTGGTAATCTCAACCTTCCTTCAGAGATAGAAAGCTTTATAATCCACTGAATCACTCTAAAAGTTATTTACAGATGCTTTGTTACAATTCAGTAGATTTTAAAACCAACCCACTAAAGTAAATTTAAAGCATAACTATTGCTCCCATCGAAAAATGCAGCTTTTGGGAATTTTAAATGCATTCACGAGATAATTTTGTGCCCTTACACATAACCTAATGTGTTGTGACTTTTTGCTGAATACCGGTTTCCAATAACTAAAAAAATCAAGACATTCACATAGAAATCCGAAATGCACCAGTCTTGTAAGGCAATTAATTTATATACATGATCCTTCAAGTGAATATTTGGTATTTAATATGGTGTAATTCTTTGACAGTTCAGTTTAAGTTACGTCATTAGTTTTATGTACATGAAATAAATTAAAATATATAACAACCATTTTCATATATCAGATTCTTCCAAAGCCACAATCGGCAAGGGCTTCCAGTTCGTAATGTATTCATACAATAAAAACACTATACAAATATTCGGTGTCACATGCCACAAATAAATGCCCATCCCTTTATAAAATCCTTTAAAACCTTCATACCTGCAGAAAAGAAAAAAAGAAAAATTAATTCGGTGAAATTAATATTACAGAATAAATTGATATTTCTATGTTTTTTCCGAAATTCTTAAATTGGAACATCTGAACCACAAATTAAATTAAGATCTTTTGACTCCTTTTGCCTTTTCATTATTTTATAACAAAAGAAGTAGTGCTCAAACAAAATGACCAAGTAATTGAGACATTAACATGGAACTTATGACCCGATCTCTTAACATGAGTGTAATACAACTAAGACAAAAAAAGACACTAACCGTTTGAGCACTACTAGCAAATCTATGATCGGGCCTTGAGTTAATTCGTAAATCTTCTTGCTTCGGTTGTTAAGTTAAATGATCACGATAGGGAAAAAATTGAGACTCGCGCAGATCATGGAAGGATCAATTAAGAAAGGTGATTTTGATGGACCCGCAGAAAGATTTCAGTTTAAGACCAATCAGAACTTCAGGTATCAAAGTAATTTTCTTCGCATTTGATTGTCCTCATTTATAATATATTCTTATTTTCAATTCGACCAATGACTATACTTACTTCCATATACTTTTGACGACGCTACGTAAATTTGTATGAGACCGATGTTGGTCTTGTAATCGGGAACGTAGAACTTGGTATGGATATGTTAAAACAGCAGCGATCATCTTGGATCCTGCAGCAAAACTTAAATATTCAACTGTAGTCTGAAAATACAAAGCCAAAAAATGGAGTTATCTCCTATTGCACACTTGATGGGCCATTTTCCAAAATTAGAATATAAGCAACGCAGAAAAGTGAAATTCCTCTGTTTTCATATCAATGTTTTGAAGACCAAGGCCAGTTTATGTTACCTTTTTGGAGAAATATTTACAATTTGTTTAAGATAGAACAGAATATCATTGAGATAAAAACAGGTGGTTGGATCAAATGCCGAATTTTGGCAGAAAGTTCTGCATATTTTCTATTAGTCTGATAAGAAATGCTGACATTCAAAATGGCTACCAAGATTAAGAGCCCATTTTTAGACGTATGACATGAACAAGCAGCCAAAATGTCAGTAAATTTAATGTGAAGGAATCTATTTATGGTAACAGTCTTCTAAAGCACACACCAGTTCACTGAGCATGTTAACTTTGTGTATCCATTTCTAAAACAATTGTCAGCAGCATGAGATGAACTTAGGTCAGTCAGTGTGCTCATTGTTAGTACCCGTTTTCCATAACTAGCTGTTCTTATGAAGACTTTGTATCTAAAACATGTTTCAGCAGCATGAGACTAACTTTAGTCACCCAGTGTGTTCATGATCAGTGGATGATCTGTCCAATTAAACCACAAATTACCGACAGTTATCCAGATTAAGGCTGGATTAGGATTATAAGAGATCAAGAGATTATCTACTTACTAATCTATGGTCTAAATCTTGTTTTCTATATAAATTATACTGTGTTTTCATTTCTTCATACACCATAAACTGAATTGCACCATGTGAAATACCTAAACAACCTGGTACAAACCCCTGAAATAATAAATATTTTCCTGTATAGAATTTAGAGCATCTTTGCATGATATTTCTGGATTATCTATACTAATTTTACAGCTGGGTCAACTGGAACTTGATATTCTCTGGAATATCCACACCCATTTACAGTTGGGTTGACTGGAATAATGAGGATCCTTTTCTACCAGTTTGATCACCCATACCTATGTTAACTCATTTATGATGGACATATATCTTCAAATGAAGAGTTCATTAGTAGCTACCAATGTATTGTTAACATGTTGTTTTGGATTTGGGGTTTCATTTTGCAGTTCACATCATTAATACTTTAGCAAATAATTCTTTGGATATCTTACCTTATATAAGCCCCTATAACCCTCAGTCTTTCCTATTTTTAACAAGGCGTCTATCATACCGTTATACCGCACCACCGAAGACCCACTGTTTTCATATTGTAAACACAGACGAGTCTTCGTCACCCATATTGGATTAGCTAATACTAATGTAGCGAAACCTGCAAGGAAAACCATAAAGGTCAGAATTGATGTTCTTTGACTTCTGTCAGTAGAATTGTTGTTTTCTTGTTCAGTGAGTTCACTAGGTACTCAATGCTTTCCCACATGAAACATCTAACACTACCTTAGGTTTGCCAACTGTGCATCCTTGTTTGTACATGTAACACTTGATCATAAAGCTGATATTTTGTCATTGATTTTGATTCTATGAAAAAGAATATTACACTAGAAGTGATGAGTGTCTTATTGTATTGGTGATATTGCATACAATGCTGATTCTTATTGATCTAAGGGAATTATGTAAATGAAGTTTATAAATTTAATGAAATCTTGAAATGGACAGAACATTTAGGATTATATAGTTGGTGAGTCAGTTTGTGAGTGATGAATGTCCCACTGTGTTAGTGATATTGCAAGCAGTGCTGATTCTTATTGATCAAATGCAACTATGTAAATCTTTGTATGTTACCAATCTTTCCCAGATTATGAATGTGTTTAGAATCAAACTTTAAAGAAAGGAGAAAGTAAATTCACCTGAAGCTGCTGCAGCTGCTATATTTTTGGCTGGACCTAAATTCTTTTTACTGTCTCCATCTTGTAAATAATCTTTTATCTGACTGTAGCTGCAATGGACATTACTAAATGTTATCACCCAAATATAGCAATGAGCTCTTCTGAACAAATTGAACACTACACCATTTTGATAGGACAAGCGCATGTATGGGAGTTTCCATCCAAGGTTGAGATTAATCCATTCAAGTTTTTTTCAATTTAAAAGAATATATCCCACATAATATTAGAGTATGCAATAGGGAACAGTTTGGTAGAAGTAAAATTTTGTTATACTTACAATAAGAAATAAAAACCCCACGAGAGGCCAGCTCCTGATACATTGGGTGTAACACCTTGATAGAGCCCCCCGAAACCATGTGACTTTTTAATAGATTTGATAGCGTGCCAAATACCATGGTACTGCGGCCGCGATGCTGCCACATTGAAACCTTCATTAACTGAAAGAAAATGGAACAAATATGATTTAAGATCGATGTGCTACATTTATACATGCCTTATGAAATGAGAATTTACATTCTATAGTGTACAATGAGAACTATTTTTCATCAGCAGAAAAGACTTCCTATTAACTATATAAGATCAAGACTTGATAAAGCTGTCTTAACAATCATTTTAACATAGTTTTAATTATTAATATTTTAAAGGTTATAAAATTTTATATAATGCCCTTGAGGCATTGAGGACAACCGGTATAATACAGCTACCACTTAATCAAGGTGATGACGCAACCTTTCTAAATATAGGATAGGCCAGAATTTACTGTTTAATTCCCAACTTTTTAGGCTTCTTACGAGCAATCGATGGGTACCCATGAGTGAAACATAGTATAAATTAAAATAACAAACCTTGAAAACGAATTTTAACTAAATCCAAAGGGTGTAAAACGAAGGTAGAAACCACACCACCTAAAAATCCTGCGGCAAGGTGTTCGGCTTTTATCTTTGGTCTGTATGAAACGGGGTCGAATTTACCATTTTTCCCCGTTGTTTCGACCATTTTGGTTTGTAGAGGTGCTCTTTATGTACAAATTATACTACAAGAATAAAATTTATGAATAGTAAACATCACAATTGCTCCATTGTCGTTGACTGATCCTTGTTCCTTACCAGAATATTCGCTGGCAAGATCGTCGCCATTTTTTTTCATAAGAAGGTTTAACAATCGATAATTATTTGTCAATACACAGAATCTCTAAAAGCCTCACTTTTCACAAATTAAGTTCCAAATATATTGAAATCATGTTATGTATCCCAATTAATTCACATTTAATAAATAAGCAAGACTAAATTCCGTCCGATTTCCAGACTTTAACTTTTCTTATCGGTTTGTTTTGACATACTAATTGATTTACCATTATCCAGTATACGCACGTCATTCATTAAAAGTCAGCTGTTTGTGTCTCGATTGTCATTGGTGGAAAGTTATGCATGTCAAAATAACCGACCGACCGAATTAAATAGACGAATTGCTTATAAACAAACAGCTTAGGCGATTAAATAGTTTATTTTTGGATTAAAAATACGAATAAAATTTCGGATTGTCCAATCATCTCCTGCGACATTTAGGTCGCCAAGTACATAATAACATAAAAAAATATAGGCTTTTCCTAAAATACTTCCTCTTGCCTATTATAATCATGTTTATATAATATTTGGCTGTTTACACAATGTTTCCCACGTCTAACATCAATATGTTTATACAATGTTTCCAACATTTAACATTATTATTTAAACAATGTTTCCAACATCTGACATTATTATATTTATACAATGACTCCCACGTCTAACATCGATATGTTTATACAATATTTCCAACATCTAACAATATTATTTAAACAATGTTTCCAACATCTAACATTATTATATTTATACATTATTATGTTTCCAACATCTAACATTATGATTTCAAAATCTAACATGTTTCCAACATCTAACATTATTGTTTACACGATATTTCCAACATCTAACATTCATCTCGTAAAAGACCAGTACAAATCAGAATAATGTAAGGCATGTCAACTATTAGTTTACCTTGTGTATTTAACCACTTGATAATATTATCTAATTCACAGTAAACAACTCAGTACTGGTAGGTTATTCACTTATAACAAGGTCATGAGGGGCTTTTAAGACGAACAATTGTATACATGTAGTGTGCAATAAGGGAAAACAAGAATGAGCAATTTTATACCCCTTGTTGGTATCAAGACTGATCATGATTATTTCAATGATTGATTTCACTCGTACGTAGAGACCTTTCAACGATTTTGATGATGAAATATGGAGAAAGAATTGGATAGATAACTTTGTTTACGAATATTATATACATATCTCGACCTATAATATAACCTAAATAGTTTAATTGTGCAGGTTTCTACGTTTCATCGTGCCAATTTTATAATTATGTCGCAGTTTTGTCACGTAGGCTACTCACAGAATGAATAAAAATGAATGAAGGATGTTATTCTCGTATCAATGAAAGACAAACCGTCAAATCATGGCGGATATTTATTTTGGTCATATCGGAATACCTAATGCCAAATTATATGTATATATATAAATAATTGAAAGCCAAAAGGAGTGGTTTTGTTTTACAAAATCATTTTTGTATTGTAATATCCTTATGGTTACGACACATATCCGTCATGATTTGATATGAGAATAACATCCTTCATTCATTTATCTCTTCATATATATATATAACTTGGCATTAGGTATTCCGATATGACCAAAATATAAATATTATGTTAGGAAATGTCTCGTCTCGCAAACCGCAAACTGATTTGGAAATCTAGAATACTATTTAATATTGTAACTTACCTAAATGCATAACAATATCTGTCGTTAACTAATTGAAGCCAAACATTGAATAGAAATATTATTTATCAGTCTTTTCACAAAAATGATGCAATTTGGTGTTTGAGGTTTCATGCATGATCAAAGCATGGCCTTGCCATGGTTCTTACATTTAAAATCAAAGGTATACATATACCATACAAGCGTATGGAGTTCTGATCATCAAAAGTCCGAGTCCACAGTTTAAAATCGCATCAAAAAATGACCTTCACGGTTGGAGACTTTTGACACTTTCATTAAACATTGATATGAATACCAAAATAAAACAAAATGTAATCTAAAAGGTGTACCATTTTATCACTCTCAATATTCACGAGTTTCGTCTCCGGCAAGTTCTCCATCGTCATCACGTTCGTTGGCAAAGATTATCGACCATGTCTGTCGGGCAGAGAAAAAGGGGAAGAGGCGGATAGATGAAAGAAGAGATAGAGGAGAATAGGCAGTCAGGGGAGAGTAGAGACATGCAGTGTGAAGAAGGGGGAAGAGGTGGACAGATGAAAGTAGAGATAGAGGAGTTTAGGCAGAAGAGACAGTTAGGGGAGAGTAGAGAAGGTGCGGTTAGAGGGAAGTAGAGACATGCAGTGTGAAGAAGGGGGAAAAAGGCAGCCAGAGAATGTAGAGAGAAATGAGAAGATGCCGTCAGGGAAAGAAGAGGCAGAAGTACAGAGAAATGAGCAGCCAGGGGGAGGAGATGCAGTCAGGAGATAAAAGAGAAAACGTAGGAGATACAGCCATTTGTAATGAAGGTAGAGGAGAAGAGACATTCAGAGGGAAGCAGAGAAAAAAGGACTAGAGAGAGTCAGATGAGGTCGTAGAATGAAAGGGGCCAAGGGGAATTCTCTTATTTTGAGAGGTACTCAATGTACCTCCGTGCATTGCTTCGAATTACAGTACTCCGAAGACTTATTATGGATCGCCGATTTGATACTGATTTAATCTATCGACTAGAATTAGGTTTTAAAAAAAATCCATAAGTAGTCTCAGTGGTCAAATAAAATTGGAGAGAATTACTTCCCTTGAAATAAAACGTATATAGAACGTTACTATTTAAACTGATTCGCATTTCATACAAATTCGGTCGCTTGTTACTAAGGCTTTTAAAGTAACATGGCAACCTTTTTGCAGAATAAGATTTTATGCAACCATGAAATTTGTCAATTTTTACAGATATATGATCTCCTTATTATGTTAATGCAATCTATGCTAATATTTCTTCATCTTGTATAATAATTAGGATTGTTGATGATGAAATTTGGTGTGCACGGCAGTATTATCTAAATACACTTGCATTTTATAAGTAGGTCACATTAAGTGTCTGTTTATGGACCGCATGTCTATGAAATTATAACTTAATGATGACATGTCAATACATATGACAATTATATGGGTAATATGACAATTAATTGATCATATGTAAATAGGTATGTCAGTTTTTAGGTCACATGTCAGTACATATGCCAATAAAGAGTATCTTTGCACGATTATAACTTGCAAATGCGTTAGACGCTGTCGTAAGATGAACCTTTGTTTACAAATGTATTCTTATAATTTGAAGAGCTTATGTTATTTTGATTTATTATACATACAAAAACATTAGTACGGCCATTTTTATTATCGAAATGACTCAGTAATGTCTGGAAGCATCTCCCAAATTTGTAAAAATATGCTTTCTTCATCTTTTATGGTAAACAATTTGAACAAATGTAAAACACTCTCTATATAGGGTTCGAACCCGGATCGTCATATCGTTGATTAAATTTAGTCAGGTTTTTGCACGTGCGCACATGAGGTCAGAGATGAAAGGTCGAGAGTTCAAATCTCTTTAAGCAGACATTTTGCTACAAAACTATTTTGATTTATTATACATTCAGAAACAATAGTACAGCCATTTTTATCACCGAAATGGCTAAGTCCTGACGGGTAGAGTCTCCCAAATTTGTAAAAAATAAATTTTCTTTATCTTATATGGCAAGCCATTTGAACGAATGTAAAACACCCCCTACGTGGGGTTTGAACCCGGGTCGTCGTATCATTGAATAGATTAAGTCTGGTTGTTTGCACGTGCGCATACGCGGTAAGAGGTCAGGAGTTCAAATCTCTTCTGGCACATTTTGCTATTAAACTATTTTGATTTATTATACATTCAAAAACATTAATACAGCCATTTTTGTTGTGGAAATGGCTCAATCTAGTCTGGTAGAATCTCCCAAATTTGTAAAAACAGGTTTTTCTTTATCATATTTTGCAAGCTAATAACAAAAATATTCGCTATACATAACACGGGGGTTCGAACTCGGGTGATCATGATATTTTATCTTTTTCTTGAGCTCGCTACAGACTGAACTACTGCAAAGAATATTTATTTCTGTCTACATTCTTAATACAGACTTAGTAGAGTCTACTGGAATGCTGCCAACAATGTTGTAGAGAATTTGCGTCAAGTGATATATATTCACAATGGCCCCAGCACGTGCATTTCGTGCAGTGTTACGATAAATACAGCGAGTTTAAGGATAAATATCATTTAACTTGGAAATCATCGAAGATTTAACATTTGACGGGAAAAATAGTACTTTTGGCAAAAAATGTTTTTTTTCAAATTTTAATTATTGATGGTTGAAAAGTACAAAACCCGCTTATTTATTTTGTTTGTCTTGTGCGTAGGTGATATCAGGTATTGTTGCATTTTTATAATGTTGTTGGATATTATTTTATGAGTTATATTTTTTTTATTTTAGGTTTATGCAGAGTGTTATGTTATTATTATGAAGTTATTGTGTGTGTAATGGTAATGTTTTATAAGAATGATCTAAGTTTTTACTTACCTTGTTTCTTTTCTTGGCTTCTTGTGGACTCGAACCCACATCGCAATAATCAACGACGAACGAACAGTTTAACCGGCTGAGCCATCGCACTTGGCTGAATGACTGCTAAGATTAAAAGTCTATATTAAAACAGAAAGCGATATTGCATTGCAGAGAACTAAGAACAAGAGTTTAGTATACTATTCGGACCATCTTCCGTATATGTCACAATGGCTCCATCGACTCGACAGTCAAATCTCAATATGAATTGATAATCGAGGGTTCGATTCCCACGTCGAGTATATTTTTTATTAAATATTTGATAAGGGCTTTATCTATATCGACAAAATAACACTTGATCTTGTCTGTCTCCGTGGCTCAGTGGTTAGAGCGTTTCCCCCAGGAGTGAAACAAAGCGGGTTCGAACGCCGGACAAGATATTTTCATTTATTTTAACGTTGCATTTACTCTAATGGTTGTAACGTTATATAGATAAATCAGCATAAGTTCTTCGTCGTCTCGATAGCACGGTGGACAAAGTGCTCTGTCAGCCGACTTGCAATCAAGGGTTCGAACCTCTATCAGGGCAACTATAGCACAATTTTGACAATTTATTATGAAAGTTCACATATAAAATGGTTAATTTCGTCCTCAAATGCTGTGCCCGTCGTAGCCCTGAGGTTAGAGAGGCTGCTTGAGACCTTGACGATCCTCGATCGAATCCCGCTGAAGCCGATGATGTTAAGCTCACTATTTTGATCTTATAATTGATTTACAATCATTTAAAAGAGCTTAAATTTCGTGGTTTGTTAACGGGTCTCTATGGCCTAGATGGATGGATGGTGGACTTGGGCTAGAACTCTGTTTCGACGGCGAGGGTTCGAGCCCAGGTAAATCTCCAGAGGCTTTTAGCCACTGTCTCATGTTCTCTCTCTCATTCTAATATGAGAGACCTGAGTTCTCTAGAGGTAAGATGTCAGTTGACACGTTGGGCCTGCCGCAGGCAAGACACTACCAATAGATAGAACGAGGGGCAAAGCTGAAGAACGAGAGACAAGGAGGGGAGCCGAGGGGCAAACTGGTGCCCGGGTCCCTCCAAGATTCTAAAAGGAGAGAGGAAGATACTTACTATTTTACTACTATAGTAGGTTGTGACTTTGAACTTTAAATATTACTTACGAACACCAGTTTAAATCCCACCTATTTTGGCCGTGGTCGTAGAGTTGTTCATCCCTCCCTACATTTTTCTATCGTTCAAACGACCCGGGTTCGATTCCCACTCAAACCCAACTTTCGGTTTTAAAGTATTTTAGACGTCCAAAGCAGATTCTAGTGGTTTTGAGTGCCCACTATGGAAAATCTTTCACAACTAGATTT